GCTCTCTCCCCTGCCCCCACCAGGCCGGAGGGGCTCGGAGGGAGGACGTTGCAGTCCCTAGCAGAACTCAACTGCAAGCATTTTTAACACTTGCTATTGGGAAAAAACAGGACAAATACAGTTAGCCCTCTTTGTTTCTCCCTCCTTGTGTGGGTGTAAGAGAGAGAGGGGGGCAAATATTGAGCATTTTTTTTAACAGAGCACAGAGAGAGCAGTCCAAAAACTGGAGTGAAAACCCAAAAGGACTGTGTAACCACTTTGAGTCATTTGCTTTGCATTCTGTAACTTGCACATGCCCTTCAGGAGGGAGGCCTTGGTCTATCCCCTACACAAGAGATTTCAGTGTTCCCGCAAGAGCAGGATTGAAAGTGAGACAGCCCAATGATGGTGTTGTGAAAACAGCAGCTCACATCTTTCTCAGAAGGTGGTTTTTGTCTGCAGAATGAAGAAATTGGAAAACATTAAAAATCCAAGGCATAGTTCTGACTCATGGGAGCAGAGTAGAGCTCTGGCTGTTTTTTCATAAACAAAGTCTTGGAAGGTTTAAGATAGGGTGCTGCTTAGTTTTTCTCAACTAAAGAGTCACCTGGGAAATTGAAGAACTACCTCCATCAGATTGGTATGTAGACATTGGAGGGGGCATTTTCTTGATAGATGACTGATATTGGAGGGACCAGCTCCCTGAGGGAGGTGACAGCCCTGGCCAAGTGATCCTGGGTTGTATAAAAAAGCAAGCTGAGCAAACCATGGGGTAGTAAGCCAGTAAGCAGCACTCCTCCATGACCTGTGAGTCAGTTCCTGACTCCAGGTTCTTGCCTTGAGTTCCTCCCAATATCCCTCAGTGATGGATTGTAAACTGTAAGATGTAATAAACTCTTTCCTCCCTAGTTGATTTTGATCAATGTTTTATTATAGCAACAGACACTAGGCTAGAACAGCCATAAGGAGAGGAGGGAATTCCCAAAGGTAAAGTCAAATCCTGGTTTCATACATGTGTTGAGGCCTGGGGTCTTGATCAGATGTCTTCCTCAGTCTGTACCTTGTTTTTTGAGACAGGGTCTCTCCATGAAAATGTAGCGTGTAGATGCTGCTAGACTGGCTGGTCAGCAAGTCCCAGGAATCCTCCTGTCTCTGCTTCTCCAGTGTTGGCTTTTGCATGGGTACTGGGGATGGAAGTGAGGCTCTCAAGATTATGCAGTAAGCACTTGCTGTCAGGGGCATCTCCCCAGTCCCTGGTGTCTTAGTTAGTGTTCTGTTGCTGTGAAGAGACACCATGACTACGGCAACTCTTATAAAGGAAAATGTGCATTTGGGGCTGGCTTACAGTTTCAGAGGTCTATTGTCATCATGGCAGAAAGCATGGTGGAACATATGCAGACACGGTGTTGGAGAAGTAGCTGAGAGTTCTATATCTGGATTGGCAGGCAGCAGGAAGAGAGTGACACAAGGCCTGGCTTGAGCTTCTGAACCTCAAAGCTCACACCTTGTGACATACTTCCTCCATCAAAGCCACACTTATTCCAACAAGACCACCTATCTAATAATGGCACTCTCTATGGGTTTATGGAAGCCATTTTCATTCAAATCACACTTGGTTTCTTATTATAGATAGACAGTTGACTAGAGCGCTAGGAAGCAAAGGCTGCCCAGAGTCTTCGTGATTTCTGTAGGACTATATTTGGCCCTTGGCTTTTGGGAACCTAAAAGTTCACCTGATTTTCAGCATTTTAGCATCGATTAGTACTGCTACAAAAAATGAGAATTCCAAGTTTACATTCTTCATATACTTCATTCAACAAGTGGTAGGTAGCAGGCTAATGGGATGGTTCAACAGTTTTATCTCTGGGACCCATATGTTGGAAGGAGAGGACAACATGACTCCCCAAAGTCATCCTCTGACCTCCACATGTGTCCTCTGGTGTGCTTCTCAATAAAAAAGTATAATAATTAAAAAACAAAAAGCCAACCACCCCCCCAACAAACTCTAACATTAGATAACAACCACAGAAAATGCAGCCATTTTGCCAAATGCTGGTGATACAAACAGAAATAAGTGTTATCTTTGCTTTTAGAGTGCATACTTTAATGAGGAAATAGAGCAATCGGTAAATCTAGAATAACTATCCTAAATGCTACACAAGGGCCAGTGAGATGGCTCATCAGGTGTTATGGAGTTTTCTGGCTTGGCCTGGTCCTGCTGCCCTCAACCCCCAAATAAACACACAGGGGCTATATTAATTATAAAATGGTTGGCTGGTGGCTAGGGCTTCTTGTTGGCTAGCTCTGTCTTAATTATTAACCCATTTCTATTAATCTAAGTATTTCCATGTGGCCTTATCTTACCAGAGAACGCCTGGTGCGTCCTATCCTCCTGGGCTCCACATGGCGACTCCAGTTTGCCTACACTTCCGAGAATTCTCCTCCTGTGGTAGCCCTGCCTATCCTCCCTGCCTGGCCACTAGCCAAACAGTGTTTTATTCATCAACCAACAAGAGAAACATGTATACATAAGCACAATCCCCATCATGTAAGGACCCTTGCTGCCAAGACTGATGATATGAGTTTCATATTATGGAAGGAATAGGAAGCCTGTTTTCTGGCTTGCACATCTAGGCCCTGGCACATGCACATACACATGCACATGCACACAATGTCATACAAAAGAATAAAAGATCTGTAGGAGCAACTAGCAGGTGGAACTTGCCTCCCCATCAGATCTGAACTCTCAGGCTTCCCATTAGTGTAGCCCATGCCTTCTGCTCTGCTGCCTGCGGCTCTTCCAACTTCAGCTTCCTTCCTTCCGACTCACTCTCCTTTCTCGGCGTCAGATCTGCATCCAGACCTTAGTCTTCCCTGGCGTAGGCTTCTTTTGTTCCTCTTTATGTTTCCCACTCTCACCAGTAAACATCTCACACTTCATTCTGTCTCCTTGCTGGTTGTGGGAGGACCCACACAGACACAAGGATGGCCTCATACCAGCTGGAGTTTGGAAGGATTTTGGAAACTGTCTTAGTTACTTCTCTATTGCTGTGAAGAGACATCATAACAAGGCAAGTTATAAGCAAGCAATAAAGCAAACAGACAAAGATATTTAAATAGTAGCTTGTTTACAGTTTCAGAGGGTAAGTTCATGACCATCATGGTGAAGAGTCAGGCAGTAGACATGCAGCCATGACACAGAAGAAGAAACTGAGATCTTACATCTTGTTCCCAAGTTGGAGGTAGAGGAAGAGAAAACCGGGAATGCCATGAGCCTTTGAAACCTCAAAGCCCACCTCAGGTGACTTACCTCTTCCATCAAGACCACACCTCCTAATTCTTCCAAGTTTATTATGTGAGGACCAAGCTTTAAACATGCAAGCCTACTATGGGGGCCATTCTCATTCAGACTATCACACAGACCTTTAACTCTGTGCAACGTGAGTGAGGTGCCAGGCAAGCAAAGAATCTCCCTACTTTTATGATGCTGTTGTGCTCAGTATCAAGCTACCAGCCATATCTTCCTTATAAAGTCTTGTTCCATGAATGTCCCCCACCCCTTGCCACCATCCTCTCTCTCATTAAAGTTCAGTGCTGGAACCCTTTACCTCTAGAGAAAAACAAGTCCCCTCACCTTTAAAAATACCAAAAATAGGAGTAATTTGTACCTGAGCCATCTGGGGTGAATAATGTCACTCTTAGTGCTCCCCAGTAAAAGGTCCTGCTTTTGCTTCAGCCTCAATGATGCTCACCAAAGGCATTCTCACCCCAAGTTCAGCCTCTAAGCAAGGTGCCTTTGGAGAGCTACAGGGTGGCCCTGTCACTGACTTTTGTCAGCTTGTCACTTGGGCAGACAGAGCTCTTCAGACCCACACAGGCTGTTCCTACAAAAACAGGCTTGAACACTCATGAGCCCTGACTACTTGAGCTAGGACACCAAGCTCTCTAGGATGTCACAAGTTCAGGGACTCTAAGTCCCATTAGGAATCTTGGGAGTGTAGGGAACAGACACCCCGGTGTTGTCTTTTTGAATGGGTGATGATAGGCAAATGCTCCCCACTTTTCTCCATGGTGCGGATGGTTTTGAGATGCATCTCCCAGGCTTCCTCAGAGATTCAAGCCATTGTATGACTTTTTCATTGGTGCTGCCCAACTCAGTAAAGCATCCTAGGGCCAGGCCTCCCACCTTCTCTGTTCTGCATTCCTGCTCCTCAGTGTCTTATTCCCAGGTAAAATGTGAAACTGAACAGAAACTCCAAGATCAGGCTATTTTCAGGGAGACCCAGGCTAAGTGCACCAGGCTGGTGCAATTCATGGTCAATATTGGGTAGATGCCTACTGTAAAGTACTAACTAACTCTTAACCCTGAACCACTGCTACAGTTAGCCTACAGAAGAGTTGCATGCTGGTGTATCCAGGTGGGGCTAGTCAGGGTTCTCTGAAGGAACAGAAATGATAGAATGAACTAATAGATATTAAAAAAGAGATTATTAGAGTGGCTTGGGTAGTTCTGCTGTGGCTGTCTCCTGACGGAAAAGCTAATGATCTGGGACTTATTCATTCCACATGACTGATGTCTTAGCAGTCCCATACTGTACTGGAGCCCTAGGAGGTCCTAGAGAACTGCCAGTTTTCAGTCCATTTGGAATCCACAAGTGGCTTCTAACAGCAGTGAAGGAATGCTTTAGATCAGGATAGACAAACTAGCCAGTGAGAGAGATGGCTAGTAGGCATAATGCAAAACATTCCTTTTTTCATATCCTTTTAAGTGAACTGTCACCAGAAGGTATAGCCCAGGTTTAGAGTGGAGCTTCTGACATTAAATAATCATGATTTAGGGTAGGTCTTCCACATCAAATAATCCAATGAAGAACATGCACTCACAGGTGCGTCTAGCTGCTTGAGTTATTTTAGTTATTTCCAGAGTTTTAATTAATTCCAGATGTAGTCAAGTTGACAACCAATACTAGCCATCACACAAAACCTAAGTAATTCTAGAAATAAAGATTGTAGACAGTTGCTATTATTTAAAAATATCATTGTTTATTAAGATTGTCTCATGGGCCAAGGCACTTCAGTACTTTCCACAAAATCATTATATTGTTTCTTCTTTTTAAAGTAGGGGAATTGTGTGCCTTAGCATGTGCCAATACCATGGCAACATAATCAGAAGAACAGACAATCACACTGAACACAAAACACCTGCCGATGTTACAAGACTGCAGTCAGCAACTCTGAGAGACTGTGAACACAATTTACATTTCTTTCTTGTAATTTTCTTTATGATTATACATCATAAAAGGAACAAGCATAGTGTTGTTGTTTTGGACACTCAGAGCAGTAATAAGGGCAATTTCTCTTCCATGGTGGCAATCGCACCCCAGCCAGGGTAATTCCAGGCTGGGAAACACTGTTCCCAAGTCTCTGCTGAAGATACAACAGACGACAAGCAAAACAAAGCCCCATGGCAGTGCTGAGAGAAGGAAGGGACATTGTGTCACCCATACATTCCCTTCAAGACACAGCTAAGTGTCTGGTCTACACATCAGCGCAAGACCAGCCTTGGCCTCAACAGTGATTTCTCACCGCCTGGACAAGCCCGGGACTCTGACCAGACACACACAGCACTCCTGGCTGTGGGACTGAGCAGCCACAATCCACACACTGCTGACTTACATACCTGTTTCCACCTTCATGTCCTCTATGGTTCCCTAGGTCTTGTGGTCTTCTGTGGTGAGGTAAAACAATCACAGCAAGGATTTTTGTCACTTAGAAAAGATGAGAAATCAAACTCTTCATGGAATCATTAATCTTCTCCGAAGAAGTGTTGTTTGTTTCCTTCTGGTTCTTAGTATGGATCTCAGGGCCCTGTGCATCCTAGCCAAGCACACTGCCACTAAGTGACATCTATTCCATTTCCTGTGAGTTTGCAGTTAGGGAGAGGAGGGAAAAACAGACCTGCAGTTCTATCTGTGCAACCTTACCAGTCTTCTAAAATAGCAAAGCAAGTCTAGAGTTGTTTCACACAGTCTTCTAAGTCCCACTGGTTCAAGAAACTCATTAACTTCTTTGGAAGGGCCAAGGCCACCACTGGAATGGATGTGCAAGCTGTCTGTGGTTAGTCTTGATGTCCCTAGAGGAAGGTGGCTCTCCAGGACAGACGCAGCAATCCATGAGCACATTAGACACAAGGTCAGCAGAACAGAAAAGCCCCTGGTCATTGACAGCGTTTCTGACAACATGCAGATTGTCAGTTTAGTTTTTCATCTTCTGGAAGGATGTTAGAAGGATATATTTTTTAGGATTCTGGGGCGTTTTCTTCAGCATCTTTTGGGATCTAGGCACTTTCTTTAGAAACTTTTGAGACCCGTTTCTGCCTTAGGGATTGCGTACGCTTTATTCTATTAAAACAAGGAAAACAAATGTTACTTGCAGACCTTACAAAGATACTTATCTCTCAAAACAAACAAGCCAGATCTGGAAAAAAACAAGGACACGACAGATTCTGAAGTTTCCTGTAGTCTTTGCGGTAAACTAGAGCTGCTGCTTTCATGGCCATGCACATGGACCCTGGTTCACACAGGATCAGGGCAATGCCCTTACAGCACCATGGTTAGAGTAGTCCAGTTATTTGTGAGACAGTGTGCAGGGAGCACTACTTCAAGGGGTTGGGATTTAAGACATGGCCAGAACCTGACCAAATACATCTACAGTATGAGAAGGAAGGTCTCTTACCTTTTGACCTTTTGCATCTGGTCAATTGTGTCTGGGAGAGGGACATCAGAGCTCTCTGGGAAGAACAAGGTGACAATAGCTGTCAGGATGGTCAGACTTCCCATGAGGATGTAGGGCAGGTATCGGTTATAGGCACCTATGGTTGAGCAGAGGACCCAGGTTACAGTGAGACTTGTTCTCATTCTGGCCCTTTCATCTCTCAGAACTCTATATATGACTCACCTTTGTATTGGTCTCAGTGCTTCCCAAAGTCTGGGATGCTAGAGTGAGTCTGACATCTAGAGAGTCTTGTGGTGATATTATTTATAATTTATTAAAGCTTGCCTGAGGATTCAGAAAGCAAAGTCAGCTACAAGTCATAGAAGTCAGGCACACACCTTTAATCTCAGTCTCAGGATTCTTTCCAGCCATGCTGAGAGGCAGCAGTCTGAGGCTTGGTGGCGAGCTTGTGGCTCAGCCCTTTCAGCCTGAGGCAGAGGTAAAAGCTAGTGGCTGGCTGCTTTGCTTTTCTGATCTTCAGATTGAAGCTTGAACCCCAATATCAGTCTCTGGTCTTCTATTTTTCATGCTACAATTGGCATACAACGTTAAAGTATGAATTCAAGAAAAAGCTGCTTCGGGGCCACTGATGCAGGCCCAAGCCTAAGTTGCAGACAGGACTCCTGCCTGAGTTCCTCCTGCCTGAGGCTCTGCCCAACCAGCTAGGTTTTCTTTTCTTTTCTCCTCAAATCAAGTAAGTGTGGAATTTTATGGTCGTAGTTTTTCTAAACAGTCTTCAGCTGCCACCCAAAACTCAGGAGGCTTTCCGGCTTTTTCTACAGGCTCTCTCCTCAGGCTGACACTCTCAGCTCATGACACAAGCTAGTTCTGTGATTCAGACGTGCTATGCCTGACAATGTAGGCAGATTTGGTAAGTCAATTGGAAATTGAAGGAATTAGTTAGAAAAGTTTTTTTCCCACACTAAAAAATGGAAAATACTATTAAAATGGAGAAAATTAGGTCTTCGGGTGATTACATAATTGGATAGTTTAAAAATTGAAAAAGTAAATGAAGGGATAATCAATTGGGATTGACATACTGTTAATTATCATTTTGATAATCTTTGTTGTTGGTTTGATGATTATTGGTTTTTCTCTAAAAATGTTGGTTGATAGGAGTGCTAAGATGTAGGCCTTGAGAAATTAAATGAGGAAACAAATTCAGCATTGCATTTTCAGGTTAAAAAGGAGCACTCTAAATTCTTAAGAAAACCACTACTAATATATCTAATAACCTTACAGGAAGTAACTTTACAAACACAATGTCCACATTCCCAAGAGGTGGGGCAGGTGGTTTTTGGTCATTCAATGGATTATGGCTATTTGTCATTGTTTAAAGGGATTGGTTATAAAAGTTGGTTACACCCAACACTCGGGAGGCAGAGGCAGGGGGATCGCTGTGAGTTTGAGGCCGGGCTGGACCGACAGCCTCCAAAACAATACAGAGAAACCCTGTCTCTAAAAACCAAAAAAAAAAAAAAAAAAAAAAAAAAAAGTTGGTTACAGTCAGGAAGAAAGTTAAATAAAGGGGATTAGATTCAAGGCTTTTGTTTTGAAAAAAAAAAGGAATACAGACATGACAAAAGTGTGCCCCATTTTGATTTGCATTCAAGTTAGACAAAGTGCTGCATCCCATTAGAGCCACGTACCATGCTTTCAGAGTACTTTCTACTCTCAGGACACTGGCTTCTGGGGCTACAGAGCAATTTCAATCCCAGCTCATACAACTCAGAGAGCCACAGTCTTGAAAAGTAAAATGGGGGCCAGGGAGATGGCTCAGCTTGTAAAAGTGCTTGCTGCTATGCCTGGTGGCCTGAGTTCAGTCCCCAGGAACCACATGTAGTAAAGAAAGAACTAATTTTAGGACTCCCCTAAATTGTCCTCTGACCTCCATATAGACACTGAATGAATGAAATAAGTCATGGTCACTGTCAGTCCACCAGTCAGATCTCTTAAATGGACAGGTTCTCTTCATGCTCCTAACTCTAAGAAGAATCTCCTCTAGTAAAGAGCACTGTCTCTCTAAAGAATTTCTTAGGATGAAGAAATTGTAGTTTGTGATGGAGAGTCTGGGGAGACTGAAATAGGAAGCCTCACTTTATTATCCTCATCTGGCTGGTCTGTGAGTTATTTTTCATTTGAAATGGGTGCCTTCTTCTCCAGTCAGGGTCCCAGTAAGGGATACATCCTGCTAACTATAGGGCTTGTGTCCAGCTCACATTAAGGCTACTTAGAGCTTCTGTCTCATTCACTGCACCAGTGCACGATGGTACTCACCAAGGTAAACAAAGTAGGGAGACAGGATGCTGCCAAGGCGGGATGCTGTGGAGCTGACCCCCACACCCATGCTTCTCACCACAGTGGGGTACAGCTCAGCTGTGTACACGTAGACCATGGAATAGGCAGAGGTGATCCCAAACTTGCCCACCATCACCAGGGTAGTAGACAAATAAAGTAATTCTGAAGAGACAAAGGAAGGATAGAAAAGGCAAGAGGGACCAATATAAGGGTTGCCCTGGAGGAGTTCTCTTCCCTTTCAGCCTAAAATGAACTCACTTTATCCCAGATTTGGGCTGGAGAGAATTGGTCAGTTTCTATACCTTCCTATTGAACAAAAACACCATGGCTTAGATTTCTATGTGAGGGTAATGGTGTTCTTAAATCTAGAGGCCCAGACAGTATGTGCCCCTCAGCCCAATCTACCTGCCTTCCAGAAGTCATCCTGGGTTAGGAGCTGTTTCCCCAAAACCTCATACTGAGGGCACTGTGGAGTTAACCAAGGACTTGTATGAGTGGGGGAGTTTGCTAGCTTAGTTCATGCTTGCAGTCTACTCAAGAAGTTCACAGTCTGGGCATTGAGGTGGCTCAGTGGGTAAGGGCACTTTCAGTCAAGCCTGAGAACTTGAGTTTGATTCCCAGGACCACAGTGGAAGGAGAGAACTGACTCTTCTCACTTCCTACACATTGTCCTCTGACGTCTACATGTGTGCTGGGATACATGTCTCCCCTCTCCAAATAAATAAGTGTAGTAAAGTCATTGAGAAAAAAGTCTATAAACCATGTGAACTTAGGGATGATCTTCTAATTGACTTCACTGCCCAATGAGTATAACTAGTGACACAGTGGTCTCTCTACTCGGGTTCCTTCTGCTACAAAAGGGACTGTTCCTGTGCAGAGTATCACAGTCCTCAAAGTAACCACCAGAGGTTCCAAAAGCCACAGGGGTATGGATGATTCTGGCAAGTGATGGACAAATAAGGCTTGTCATCTGTTCCACAGGTTGTCAGATAGGGTTCCTCCTTTCTATTAGTGGTATGGCAAGGAAGTTTTACCAGCAAAGTCCTTTCCATAGCCTTTGAGAATATCTCTTTCTTTTTATAGATTACTAGTTTATTTGCTACCCTGAAACACACTGGGCTCACCACCTGCCAGAGCGATGGTTATATATATATCTCATATAACATAGATTGGCCTCAGACTCTCCAGACAGCCAAAGATGAGCTTGAACATCTCGTTCTCCTGCATCCACCTCCCAAGTGCTGGGATTAAGGGCATGTGCTACCTCTGCCCTGCTCTCTTGACTTACTTATGGTGTTATCTCATTTAAATTCTGCTGAATATCTCTGTTCAAGATAGTATTATGAGTTCGAGGCCAGCCTGGTATACAGAGCGAGTTCCACGACAGCCTCCAAAACAATACAGAGAAACCCTGTCTCAACCCCCCCAAAAGGTGCTATAATGACTGTTCTTTAGATGAGCGCTAATGTCCTTTCTTTCTATTCACAGAAGGTAACAACATCTGAAGATTAACAAGCATTTATTAACTTATTTGTTTCTCCTCTGCTAGAAAGAGACTGAGTGTATCAAGACCAGTTATTGCTTGAATCAATAAATAGGACAGACCTAGTATAATGACTTTTCTTCGTTATTCTAAGGAAAATGGATACCAACATACTAACTTGGGTCTAGGGCATAATTAACCCACTGCCTAATGCTTTCTTCCCAACAAAGGCTCTGACTTTGTGAGGCCATCTCTTGATTTGTAAGTGAGCATTGTACACATGTAACACAGATCTAATGGTCTTGACTGTACTCACTTTCTGGTTCAAGTTAAGTAGAACAGGGAAGACTCAGGGCTGCAAATACACACCATCCATACCTGAAGGCACCAGCGGCAGTAATAGGAGGACACTGCCACCCAGGAAAAGGGAACCAGCCATTGAATAGCGCCTGCTCATGTGCTGCAGCAACAGCCAGGCCAACACATAGGCTGGGACTTCAACAGCTGCCAAAAGGAAGCAGTTCAGGTAGATGTTGCCATTGAGGTTGGGAGTGTCAAGAGAAAGTCCGAAATAGCCCACTGATATGGTCATCCTGCAACAGGGGACAGAAGAGAGCTGGAGAAGTGGCACACATCTCTTCAGACCCACATAACTTACAAAAAAAACTCATCTTGACAAGTTCTGAACTGCTCTTGATGCAGGGAATGGAGAGTAGTAGTAGATTTCACCCTGTGCCTTACTTCCTACTACAAAAGTTTACTTTCCCTCAGTAAATCATTTGCCAATGGACCTTCAGAACATTTCATAAAGAAAGTGTCTCAGAAAAATGATTTATTAATCCTCACTGACTTCATCACTAGGGGAAAAGTCCCAACCTGCACTTCATCATTAAAATCTTACACCGAATCATTTACAAATATCCAATTGCACAACTCTTTTGTCAAATCTCTATCTCCAAAAAACATTTACATTACAATTCATAACAGTAGCAAAATTACAGATAGGAAGTAGAGTAGGTAAGGCTCAGGCAGGTTTCACTTACTCACCACAGGATTATAGACATGGTGGTGAGGATCCTGATATTCTGTGTTCGGACCAGATCATAAATGTGGTGTGACTGAGGCTTCTTGGAACTTTGGTCTTCTAATTGCTGAAAGAATAGTGTTAATATAAAGAAAAGGCTGGAGACCACCTGGAACCCATCATTTTCACTATCTACTTCTCAAAAGTTAGGGAGCATTTTAAGGTTCTTCCTTGAAAATACAGTACAGTGACTTTTGATGTTCAAGGCCTCCTGCAGGCTCAGTCAATGACAAAAGGGAATGAAGGACAATTAGGGATAATGAGAGGTATCCAGCAATTGCAGAGGTCTAGGTGACGGCCACTTCACTGCATTACCCTGCCCATCCTAACTACACTTTTCAGTGAGGCCTTTGAGTTTTCCTCTGCAAGATTGACTCATTTTTCACAGAAAAAGTAGGCTGTGTATTTTACTGAAATGACATGTAAATGAAATGAATATTTTGAGTCTTTGTACCATGTGCTACTGGCCTTCTTTCAGAAAAAAAAATTAAATGGAAAATGGAAAAACTGACTCACTTCACCCCGAGTAACATCCTATGAGATTCCACAGGGTCAAGGCTATCACTAAACCACAAGTCTAAACACACTGATGCTCTTTCTTAGGTAACTCAGCTTAGGAGCTTGTTTTTAACCCATCAGTTTAGCAAAAAGATCAATCTGGAATTCAAAGAAATCCTGGAATACCCTCATTTCCTCAGTGATGCCAATGAGGCTATGGGTTCACCCAGACTGACCCCTTACTTAAATGCCACCAAAGCCACCTCACTTAAAATGCCCAGTCACATTCCAGCCCTGACTTCTGTGCTTCAGCGTCCTTCTAGAGCATGCCGAGTGACTGCTGCTGCTGGGCCACCACTTAAGGACTCTCGGTGGCTACCAGTATCTTGGCTGCCTATAACAACTGCTTCCTCTCTCACAAGTCCCAAGTCCTCATGATACCAGATCATCTCAAATATGTGTCCTGCTTACCCTATAAGAAATGATTCATGGCATATGAGATCAGGGAAGAGATGGCTACCAGAAAAGACCTGGATCCCAGTTGATAGGAAAAAAACAACTGTCAGAGACAGAAACTACTGTGTGCAAATTTGCCAGTGTTCAGATTATCCTTTGATGACAACCCCTGAATTTGTGGGATATTTGTACACTGTATGAAGATGTAATACTTTTATTGGTGTAATAAAAAGCTGAATGACCAATAGCTAGATAGGAGAGGTAGGTGGGACTTCCAGACAGAGAAAGAGATCTGAGAGGGGAAAGGACAGAGTCAAGCCAGCACAGAGGAAGCAGGGTGGGCAGTAGAGAGAGATGCAGTATTGAGGCACATGGTGGAATCTAGATTAAAAAATATGAGTTAAGCTATATGAACTAGTTAGGAACAAACCCGAGCTAAGAGTGAGCTTTAATAATTAATATGTCTCTGTATCATTATCTGTGAGCTGGTGGCCCAAAGAAAATCTGTCTATACCCTGAGGTGTAAGAAACAGTGACTTCCTGGAATGCTAAAGTTGATGGAAGCCTCTTCCTAATAAAGTGTATTTTATTATTAAAAGTCATGGTTAAGCCAGACATAGTGGCATATCTTGTCAATCCCAGCTCTTGAGAGGCACAGGCAGTCAAATCTTTGTAAGTTTGAGGTCAACCTGGTCTACACAGATTTCCAGACCAGTCAAGGCTACATAGGAAGAGCCTGTGTTAAGAAAAAAAAAAGAAGAAAGAGGAATGGTTAAAAATATTATTACTTGGATAGGAAGTAAAGGAAACATGGAAAAATTCCACAGGAGAGAATAGGTAGCTAGAACCCATTCCTCAAGCTCTGAGGTTTGTGTGTATTCCTGTTCATGTGTGTATATCTGTATACACCACAGTAATGTGTGTGTATATGTAGGCTAGAGGTTGACCTAAGACATCATCTTCAGTCACTTTTCTACCTTAAATTGGGGACAGGATCTCTCATTGACTGGTTAGCTGGCTGGACAATAAGCCCCTGGGATCCTTCTGACCCTGCTGCCCTAGTGCTGGGATTAGGGGCACACTCTGCCATGCCTGGCTTTTTGGTTGCTTGTTGGGTCCTAGACTGAGGTCCTCATGCTTGCATGGCAAACACTTTATAGACTGAATCATCTCTCCATTCCTTTAACTTCTGTACTGTAAACAGACCTTGCCTAAGGATGGCTGGGGTTTGGGTAGAGTAAGGGCTGGGTTCTTGTGAGCTGTGCTGTATGCTATGGACCTAAAATGACCAGTGTGAGTCTTCCACCAGCTTCCACATGGTACTTACCTCTTTTGGATCAAAGATAGTGGAAGGTGCAACAATCCTATTGGTTTTGGCAGCTCTGCGAATGATCACCTCTGCCTCTTTAACTCGGCCTTGAGAGACGAGCCATCGGGGAGACTCAGGAATAAAACTGGGAGTACAAGTACAATCTAGTGAGGCCCCCTGTTCATTTGCTCTCCCAGAGGCTGGGCATGCTTAACTACAGATGGGAAATGAGGTTTCAGATGCAGAGGTAAGTGTGTGCAGAGTCAGGTGTTCATAAGGTGTCCATAGCTCAGTGACCACCTGAGGTATGATGCTGCTGAACACCAACTGCAGGAGAAAAAGTTGAAGCAGCCTGTACATCCCCAGGGGATCCCCATCTGGCTGGTACCTGCCTGTCTGCAGTAGTGGTGCCCCCTATAAGGCTTTCAGGAGACAAGCACAAGATGGGCTCCTGGTACCTGGCTCCTGCTATCTTTACCCTGTCCCACAGACACTCCTGTAGCGATCACTTAACCTCATTCCGTCCTCATCCATCTCTGATTTAGTCACAGTCTCGTCAGTCTCTTTACACAAAACAGCTGGTTCTCAAGGCTGAAGCAGTGGCGTATGGAGTGTCAGTGGATATTTTCCTTATCTTTGTGACCAGGCAGCCCTCTCTCCTTTGTCCTAATCAGGAGCCATGATGCATTGCAACTTCTTCTCCCACTATTCTTCATGGTTCTCGCCATTGTACATGGATGAGGATCTCACCTTAGTCTAGTCTATTGAAAGGAGTGATTCTTGCCTGGTTCCTCTGTCAGGTGCCATCGCTTAGATTGGCCTATGCTCTGCCTGCCCAATGCCCCTCTCTTGGAGTTGCTTCTGGAGCCTGCACTCCTTTGCATAACTACTCAAGGAAGCTCACGTCTGGAACTCTCCCTCTCTTTACCTCCCAACACCCATGCCTGGGGCCTCAGCACCAAGCAGCTACAGCGCAGGCCTTGTTGTCTTACCCTGGGATTTGAGAATTTCCAGAGGTTAGGTTGACCCCTATCTGCTTGCAGCAAATTCTTACTTCAACCCAGAACCTGGTCGAGGACAAGCAGCCTGTGTCTTGGGATTCTGTGTTGTTTTGTCTTTTCGGAGTATGGACAGACTCTCTGACCTGATTTATAAATTAATATTTACTACGTTTTTCTGGGATCTGGGATGGGGATTTGGGGAGCTGCTGCTGCCCTCTACTGGACATGAGACAGAAGCCACCCCACAGATAGGCAGCCCAAGGGGCTGGGCCACACTCACCACCAGAGAGGACCACACAGCACCCCTGGCAAAGTGATTGCCAATTGCAGTCTCCTCCAGTCTCTGATGAAGTATGCAAACAGAGGCAGCACCATGAAGCCAAATGCAAAAAATATGCACACTCCTAAGGTGGCGAATATAATTCGAACTGACTTGGAAAGAATTTCTGATCCTGTACAAAAAGGGGGGGGGTAAGTTAATCATTAATCAATGCTATTTCTTTATAAATCGTCTGTGCTATTATTTTCAACAAACAGACAAGGAGGGAGCCAGACCTCGCTGTGGTTTGAGGCCCTGGAGGGGTCATATCTGAACTAAGTTGCTTTACTTTGCTCCTGGGTTGTTTCTATGAGGTCCCTAGGCAGTGCTCTCATGGAAACATCATCAGCATCTTCAGCCACATGCTAAAGGTCCTGTAAGTCCTTACATGGGATAGAATTTACCAAAGGCAAAGTCATTACTATGGCCACACATGCTAACTATTATCCTTCGAGGACAAATGTTCTAGTAAATGTGAAAAGGAAGTAATAACCCTTTCCACAATACAACCCAAGGAGCCCAGTGGTCTGATTCCAAACAGGGAGACTGGAAGCTTTCTGGTGGGAACAAGGTGGCTTGTCTGAGTCAGAGCCTTGCAGGGTAGACTCTGACCAGAACCTGGACTGGACCACTCCACTCACTCTCCTTGGTGGACACTGATAGCCACCAATGTTCTGCAGCAGCTCTGTTTCCTGGGGAGCCTGCCCATCATAGCCACCCTCCCTTGATGTCCTCCCCTTTCCTCAGTTACCTAAGGCCCTTTCCGTGTAAGTCCTTAAAAATGGATGCTCCATGGTGAATCCTAGTTAATGGTTTAAGTACTAGTAAAGCCAAGGGGCTACCAGTCAAAGTCCAAAAGAGAACTGGACATCAGAAGTCAGGAACTATTACCAGGTTTAATTTCCCAGCTGGTAAGCTAGGTTTATTTACTAGGGTAATCTAGCCACTTTCCCCAGGAGGGACATCATGACTAGTCTCCAGAAAACTGAAATACAGTATCTAGAACTGAACTCCAACTGATGTCCATACCCAGAACAAATGCCGCCACGTAGTTGGATATATGACCCATGCCAACAAGGGCAAAGAGCACAGTAAACATCTCGAAGTTCACAGAGAAGACCTGCAGGAAGCTGAAGCCAGTGTGCATGGCCATGGTCAAAAACAGCACATTCTTCCGACCAAACCTGGGGAGGAAAAGAAGGTAACAGAGAAGCAGCTGGGAGAGGCAGCAGTGACTGACTTCACTGAGAGGGGTTTTCTCCTGTCACAAGGACTGGTTCCAGGTGGTCTTACTCTCTCAGTCTCCATGCTATCATTGAATTCCAAAATTTCCTGGATGAATTTGTAGCATGGACATTGAGGCTGCTCCAAAGGCAGTGCCCCACTGATGCTAATGACTGCAGGGCATTTGTTAAGTTTAAATCCACATATTCATAATAATTTTTTTAAATTTTATTTTCCAGTTTAAATTTAGATAAGAAACAAGGTTGCTTCACATGTCAGTTCCAGGTCCCTCCCCTCCTCCGATGCCCTCCCCCCAACCCCCCCCCCCCGTTATCCCCTCATTCCCCCAGGGAGGGTGAGGCCCTCCATGGGGGTGTCCATAGTCTGTCATTTCATATAGGGCAGGGCCTAGACCCTTCCCCAAGAGTTCAGGGTGAGAGTGCACCTCACATTGTTCTATGGGAGTCCAAAGTCCGTGTGTATACTTGGGATGGGTACCGATCTGCTGTCCAAGGCTCAATAGATTACCTAGGCCTCCTCACTGACACCCAGATTCAGGGGGTCTTGATCAGTCCCATGCTGGATTCCCAGGCTGATGCCTGGGATTCAAGAGTTAACCTTTGTCTGGTCAGCTGTTTCTGGGGGTTAAACCAGCCCAGTCTTAATCCCTTTGATCATCAGTCCTCCCTCTCTGTTACTGGCTTTCTTGAGTTCAGCTCAGTACTTAACCGAGGGATATTCATAATAATTTTAAAGACAAAAATGCATGTAAAAACTCAAATATATAACTGCATTACAATTTGTCTTTTATAGCATATAGAGTATATTCCCTCAGAAGTTAAAAAAATTAACTATTTATTTACTTTTTAAAGAGGTGGTTGAGAAAGAAAAACGTGACAGAAATTTTATATACTTCATACAATAAAATAGAGAATCACACATATACTTTGATAAACATAAAGTAGTCACTTGTACATAACATTTGAGAGGAAAGTATATTTACAAATAAACGGGTCAAAACCTACAATGTGGTAACAGACATACCTGGTAATTGTGTGCACTCAGTTTTATTATTGCAGGCAGCTGAAGCAGCCATGATGGACAACCTGAATCTTTCTTCTGTGGTACCAGGGATAGAAGCCTTGTTCTAGGCCAGTGTTCTATGATTGAGGTATACCCCAGCTCACAATTCTAATTTTTTTGTTTAAAGTTTTCTTTCATTTTTATTTATTAGTATGTACCCATGTGAAGACCAGCGGTCAACTTGTGGAGTTGATCTCTCTATCCATCATATGAGTACTGGGGGTTGAACTCAGGTTATTATGTTTGGCAGCAAGCACATTTACCTGTTGAGAGGGCAAAAGGTCACCAGGCAAGCAATCTATCTTTTTCCCCCTTGAGTTAAAAATTATACTTATAATTTTATTTTATGTATATAGGTGTTTGTCTGCATATATGTCTGGGTACTATATGCATGCCTAGTGCCCTCAGAGGTGAGAAGAGAGCATTAGATCCTCTAGAGCCAGAGTTACAGATGGTTGTGAGCCTTATGTAGGTGCTGGAAATTAAACCTAAGTCCTGCAAAAGCAGTCAGTGTTCTCAGTGTCTGAACTATCTCTCCAGCCCACAATCTAACTCTTGGGGAAAACAAACAAACAAAAAACAAAAAAGTCAACAACAAAACACCCTCCAACATTCACCCAAGGATCTGAGATCTGGAGAAATTTTTATCTTCACAAGTACAGGTGTACAAGAAGTACACCTCTTCATTTATTGAGGAAGTTTCAACATATCAGCACAATAGTTAAATACACAAATCAATGTTGGGATAATGTAAAAATGGAACCAATTTTCATGAAATGCACAAAATGAAAATGCCTGTATACCGTCTATATCCCTAGAATTGCAAATGATGCAAATATGAAATATGTAGCATAATGAATTATAGAAAATGATACTTATAATTCAAAATAACTGGAGGAGATGGGCATAGTTCAGTGGCACAGTGCGTTCTTAGTCCCCGCAAGGACCTGGATTCAATATCCAGCACAAATGAAATGAAAATGAAAACAACTACAAAAAAATCCAACAAACAAAAATGTTAATTACGGGGATAGATTATGGTCAACTGCATGAAGGCTGTCAGAGGAACTGGAGACTTGCATCATTACTTATAGGGTAGACTGTTGTCTTTGCTTAGATTAGCATGCTTCTGTTTTCTTTTGGTCACGTTTTCTTTTGGAGAATACACTCACCTGCACTGTCTACATGCAGGACCTTTTCCTCAGCCCATGCAGACTCACAAACTAGTTCCTTTAGGAAGCACCCTCTGACACATCTGAAACAATGCCTTCTCAGGTTTCTAGGTGTCCATCTGCCTAATGTGTTGCAGTTTTCCTGAGTACCATCAAAAAATGCATCAATCCCTTCTCTGGACATAAGCTTTCTTGACATATCCTTCTTTACAACAAGAATTTCAGTGTGGAGGTTTTCTATGTCCTCTCTCTCTCTCTCTCTCTCTCTCTCTCTCTCTCTCTCTCTCTCTCTCTCTCTCTCTCTGTGTGTATGTGTGTGTGTGTTTTGTATGGTACACAGGTTCTTATTTTTTATTTTTATTTTTTATTTTTCAAGGCAGGTTTTCTCTGTAGCTTTTGGAGCCTGTCCTGCAACTCGCTCTATAGATCAGGTTGGCCTCTAACTCAGAAATCTGCCTGCTTCTGGCTCCTGAGTATACAGGTTCTTAAGAGGGCTCAGAAAGATCTGACACAACTGGTGTGGTTTCTACAAGAAACATGGGAACACTTCCTCCTTGAGTTTGACATCAGCTCAATTCTTTTGAGATTCAGTGGCCATTCCACTCTTCACTTCTACCTGAAGGACCTCTCACAGGCTGATCCTGTCCCTCTTCTGCCATTGCACCTATAGGACCCTCTCTTGGAGTAACTAATCATCCAACAACACACTGAATCTCTCCAACTAGGGGGTCTCATAATCACCCCAAATTCAATACCTTCCAGTTGTATTCAGCGTCTCCTTTGCAAATGTGATTCTCTGTCTTAGAAAAGTGTATGATCTCTAACTTTGTTATGAAGGCCAGAGACCTTTTCTCTCCTGACTCCCTACATTTGACCAGACCCTGACTGTGGTAGGGCCATTGACCCAGGCATGTTTGGCCAGTCAGCAAGTCCTCCTGACTTCACTACCTCATCTCTCCAGCCTTGCTCCAGTCTGTGCTCAACCCTATCATCGTTTGCTTGGATCACTAGAAATCTTTTAATTGATCTCTTTAATATCTCCTTGTAAACTGGGTGTGATGGTGCATGCCTTTAATCCTCAGTAAAGCCTCCCCTGACCCCTGTCAGACACTCCCATAGCACCTTGTCCTTCTCTGGTATTATTTCCCATGGCCAAGGAAAACAATCACTTCCCCAGTAAGTTGAATCCATCTATCTGCCTTGATAAAAGGCAAGTTGGGGAGGAAGGGAGCAGAGGTCTTTAGCAATAGTCTAGCAAACCAAAGGATCAAGGATCTCTGGGCTTCAATATGACCAGCCACTTGCCAGCTATGTAACCCCGGCCATATAACTTAGCCACTGTATTCTACTTTCCCCACTTATAAAATGGGAATAATAGTTCCTGTTTCAGAGGGTTGTGAGGATATGGTTATCTATTTGGTGTTTAAGGTATACTGTACTTAGAACAGTGTTTGCCACACATTACATACTACATATTTGTTAAACCAATGAAAGCAATGAATTGATGCTGTTACTAGATTAAGAGAAACATCATTCTCCAGCAGGGAGGCACCTCATACTCAGCCAGAGTTGGCAATGAATGGTCACAGCTTACTGACCTCTTCATTTTTTAATTTTTCCCATTTGTTTGAAATGATGTTTCTATATGCAATAGCTCTCCTAGAACTCACTGTGTAGACCTGGCTGGCCTCAAACTCACCCAGAACCACTTTCCTTTGCCTTCCAAGTACTAAAGGAGTATGCCACCATAACTGGCAGCCTACTGACCTCTTTAATGCACCCTCCCAGCAGTTGACTATTTTTGGTTTTAATTACTAGGTGACTCTTGAAAATAAATATAATGAAATACATACTTATGTAAATTTCCATTAGCTGAGAGTGGTGGTATATCCTTTCATTTCTAGCATCAGGAAGGTGAGACAGGAGAATTGCCACAAGTTTAATGTCAACTTGTCCTACATAGCAAGGACCAGGTCAGCTAGGGCAAGAAAGACCTTGTCTCAAAAAAAAAAAAAGGCACCCATAAAAGGGCCAGCAAGATGGCTCAGCAGGTAAAGGACTTGCTGTGTAAGCCTCATTAATTAAGTTAGATCTCTGAAATTAAAGGTGGGATTCCACAGTTTTCTCTGCCTTCAAATGCATGTTTTGGCATGCTGGCATACACATCCCTTCCATATTATATGTACATGAAATAATAAATAAAAATGTACAGAACAATACACAAAACACAACAATTCTGAGTAATGATGTGATAATGATCCACAGATATAAATGTGTAGTCATACCACTTGAGGGTATGTGACAGAGCAATGCAGCTTTGTAGGAAGAATGATATTCTGTCTCATCCTGGACTTTCCTGAGCATCCTAGCTAGCCAGGAGGATGCTGCAGCACCCTCTACTGGGCCTAGAAATAGCCTATCAGAGTCACTGTGGCCAAAGAGCTGCAGAAAGCCTCTCTTCTGATAAATTCCAAAGCTCTAGCTAAAGGAACATAGCATAATAGACTCTTCTGAGAGTCACAAAAGCTAATGACCTTGATCAAACAACAGCAACAAACCCTCATATATAATTTCTATCCTTTTGCATATAATTTCATGAGTTGTTACTTTTGGTTGCTGAGACAAATTCTCACTGAGTAGCCCAAGATGAACTTGAACTCCTAATCCTGTGGTCTCAGTCACCTGAATACTGGAATTACAGGTGTGCACGACTACCCACTTTAATTTCATGGGCTTTTTTAAATTCTGAGTCATTAATGGACTTCATATTAAAAGATTTAAAATTGTACAAATACCATGCTTGCAACAAATAACGTCCATTTTCTTGGTCATACAGCAAGTGCCATAACTAGAGGGCTACTTACCTAAAAAACACCAGAGTTCTGCTCTTCATACCACTAACTGATTGGTGAGATCTCGTCTATCTTCTATCACCTTGCTCACAGACAGAACTATATTTGGGATACGGAGGTGGCTACCATGGTATTGCCTAATGCTCTACAATACAGTGCATCCACAAATGTATAGTGTCAATCTTTCTCAGGAATAACAGAGTGCTATCTTCTCCCAGGGAAAAGGGGCCACACTTGGGCAGAAGTGAATCATGGCAAAGTAGTCATTGAACCATGGGTACACATGGCTTGGATAGCACTGGATTCTCTATTCAGTAACAATTAGAAAGTGATGTGTGAGATGCTGTTGGCTCATGTTACTTGCTATGGAAAGTCTATGCTAGACATAGCTGCTGCTGCTTCTGAAATGAATGACCGTGATCTAAGAGAACACCATCAGTTGAAATCAAGGCATGGAATACTCTTTGATCAGTACTGGACACCTTACCTGTCTGAGAGCTGTCCTGAAATGAAGGAGCCCAACAGCACACCCACGTAAAAGAAGGAGGTGGTAAGTGGAGCTTTCCAGTCATTCTGACACACCAGGTCCCACTGTAGGAGGAGCAAAGGGATGCATCATTCACTCCTTTTCTGAAACTTAAGGCTTCTTGTTAAATGAATTGGCATACCCTGCATCCCCGAATGTTATGAAAACATGAGCTCACTAACACAAGCAATGGTTCACTTGGGCAGCAATGCAGAGAGAGCAGGGAGCCTCTCCCTCTCCATCTTGTCTCTCATAGCACAGGTTCCCACGTCTTGCTTCATTTTGAGGAGGGAAGAGGAGCAAGCAGCAGCACTGCCCAGACACTGACCTCTGGTCAGCAAGGCCTGTTGCTCTTACTATTAAGAATCCAGACTGAGCCAAAGGCTGTGAAAGGGGCAAGGTATCCTTGCTCAGGGAACTTCAGGCCTCTAGAACTGAGGGTGTCGTTCTTAGCAAGGCATCCAGCTGAAGACTGAGGCCAAAGGGTCTAGGGTGTTCTGTCTAGATCTGCTCCTTTGGCTCTGCTTGAATTTTCATCAAGGCCAATGACCCCTCAGCCCCTGGGATCCTGTGATATACTGAGCTGGAATATTTGATTCCATACACCAGCAGGACTACGCCCAGTTATGCCTAGGAGCCTTAGACTCAGAGTCATAAAGCTTGGTTTTAGTTGTGTGATGATTTGAAGGAGAATGGGCCTCATAGGCTAATAGATTTGAATGTTTGGTCACCACTGTGGTGACCAAATCAGATTTAAATAATCCTATTTAAAAGGATTAAGAGGTGTGGCTTTGTTGGAGGAAGAGTGGCACTGGGGATGGGCTTTGAGGTTTTCAAAAACCCAAGTGAGGCCTTGTGGCTGTCTTCTTCTGTTGCCTGCCTATCTGGATGTAGAGCTCTCAGCTACTGCTCTCAGCACCATGTCTGCCTGTGAGCCGCCATGCTCCCTGCCTTGATGACAGTGGACTGTCTCTGAAACTGTAAGCAAGCCCCAACTAAATGCTTTCCTTTATAAGAGCTGCCATGGTCATAGTGTCTGCACAGCAATAGAACACTGAGTAAGACAAAGTGCTACTCAAGTGTTAACTAGTTTTCTAACCTCACATAAGGCCCTGCCCATCATACTGAATAGTGCCTTAATTTCCTTGTCTAGAAAACAGAGACTAGGGTTGGAAACAGGCTGTTGTTTGAGTTTCTAGACTAAAAATGTGTTCCATCTACAGTTACCAAAACCAGGAAATGAGGGTGCAGGGAGGAGAGGGGTACATGGGGAAACAGTGACACTTAGGCATTTAGTCGCCTTAGCCAATATGGTTCTGTAGACTGGAAGGAAGTTCAAACAGGGACTTTAGTGTTTCCCAGAAAGATTTTTCTTGGTCAGAGACTATGTGCAGTAGGAACTTTGCAGACCTCACAAGTGCAGCCACCGTCATGGCAACCTAGACCTCCCTCTCTTGGTACCAGGCTATTGTCTGCCTTCCACAGAGCCTGCTGCCTCCCCAGTACTCAACAGAGACAGGGGATGTGCTGCTCCCACAATGACTGTCTTCCAGGGTGGTAGCAGAGGAATAAATAACAGGGTCTCTTTACTGCCCTAGGTTCATCCAGTCACCTAGACCTGGGTGTGGAGGGTGCCCTACTGGCTCGACATAAAGAACCTCCATTGCCACCTCAGGCATACTATTATTTCTCCACTTGGAGTAGCATGTACTTTTGGATGAGGTAAGTGGGGTGGTGATCCCCATTGCAGGTGATAATTGTGGATATCTGATCCCCAAGTCAAAGAGGAAGCAGAGACCAGCAGGAGTCAAACATGTGAAGCCTCAGTACCTAGATGGTCTCGCTCCTCCAGGCTTCATCTGCCTTAATGGAGCACCCAGACCTGGATAGGTGGATAAATGTTCCTATAGTGTCCACCATCCACACATGACTGCTAAAGCCATGACTAGTGAAGGGACCAGGTCCCTGCTTTAGCAGTCATGACTCAAAACATGGGCTTTCCTGACCTTGGCCCTCCTCCTAGTCACTAGGTCAGATACCCTCCTCGTGGTAAGGAACCAATCAGAAGTTGTCTGGTGGGCTGTGCTTTACAGCTCTGGGTGTGCTCTGTGGTACAAGTGTACAACAACAGTGACATGCAGAGCATAGCAACCACCCTGGGTGGGCCTATAGGCCATAACAGCCAGTTGACCAATCAATACAGGACAGGTCATCCAAGCCCAGAAGCACACCAATCCTGAGACTATTATGTACCCCTAGATACTCCCCTTGCTCTACCTGATATATACCTTCCCTACCACTTCGTGGTTTCTTGGGGTCCTTCTCTAAGCATCCTCTGTAATGAACAGATGAAGGGCCTGAGCTAATTAAATTATGGCTACTCTCATTCTTAAATATGATAAAATGTGTTATTTTGCTAAAACAAAGACGAAATGAGGGTAAGTTGCTGGAAGCTGTTTACCAACATGTCCATTGTGATGGTTGGGGACTGATACATCCATGCTAATAAGAAATCCACTCAGAGGGCTGGGATGAAGCTGAGCCTGTAGAGTGCTTGCCTAGCAAACGTGAAGTCCTGGCTTCAATCCTCAGTACTGCACAAAGCATGTACGGTGGTTCATGTGTATAATCCCAGCTCTTGGGAAGAAGGATCAGAATGTCAATGTTCAAGGTCATCCTCAGCTACATGTTAATATCAAGGTTACTCTGGGCTACATCAGGCCACGTCTTTTATAAAAGAAGAATGAGGAGGTGGAGGCCAAGGAGAAGCACAAGGAAATGTACACAGGATTCTACAGCTGAGTTCTAGAGTTGTGAACCTCACTCAGTCTCCCAAACATACTTTCAAGGCTGGAGACCATGTAAAAGCAGGTCAAACTTGTAGGCATGGTAGCATCCTTCAGGCTTTCACCCCTCCTGCTTGACTTATCCTGTCCTTAGTCTGGGCATGAGCCTAACTCATTGAAGTAGCTATGCTATCACCCACCACTGACCGTCCCTGACACCTCTCAAGGCCTGGCTTACATTAATATTTGTCTACTAGAGGCTACAGGGAGCCTGTGAGTAAAGTCAGGAAAGACAAGAGTTCTCAAAAGCACAGGCTGAGTCCCACCTACTCATTTACCTGTCAACCATGATATCCAACGCAGTAGGCATTTGAACTTGGCCTGAATCTTCGTTGGATGGGTGGGATGATAGTCAAGGCTAAGTACACCTGCTCGATGAGCTTACAGATGAACCTAGTGTTCCTGGACTCATGTGGCTACTCAGCTATAACTAAAGCACATAGGACCAGACCATCAATGCTTTGTAGGGCAGCACTGGCCATACATGAAGTTTCATAGATGGAGAACTGGAAGAGGGGAAATGTGCCTCTCTAGTAGTAATGGCTCCAGAGTGTTAGCAACCAGGCCTGATCCATCTTTTGTTTATCAGCTACCCTTTGTTTTTCTTGTTGCCCTATATGTAAATCTTGTCTGAGAGTTTCCCAAAGGTGCAAAGCCTGTGAAAAACTTGGCTAGAAAACAATCCAGAAAATTGTGGTATTTTCTGACTGAGAATTTGCATTTGGTATTGTCCCTTTGGAGGCCCAGTCATGTTGTTTTCAGGTTAAGGAAATCAACTTGCTTATCTGTAAATTGGAGAACAATAAAAGAAGCCCTGGGCAAAGGGAAAGGGGTTCAATTCTTAGGGACAGTTTCACCCTGCAGCTGAAAAAGGCTAAATTCATTCTTAAGGTGCCTCAGTCTTCATTCCACAGACCTTTTTGAACCCACAGCTACACTGCTATAAACATAAGTGTCAAAGCTTTTCAAACTGTCCACTTGATAGACTCTTTATCTCTTTTATGTCACAATCCGTGATGAGCTTTTTTCCAGAGGACCCCATGCTCTCTTTGGCCTCTACAGGCACTACAACCATGTAGTACACTTCAAATACATACATGTAAAACACTCATACACATAAAAAAAGTCTTAAAAAACAACTCTTGAGCTTTTCAAAAAAAGAGTTAGAGCCTGGCGTTGGTGGTGCACGCCTTTAAACCCAGCACTCAGGAGGCAGAGGCAGGCGGATCTCTGTGAGTTCAAGACCAGCCTGGTCTACAAGAGCTCGTTCCAGGACAGCCTCCAAAGCCACAAAGAAACCCTGTCTTGAAAAGAAAAAAAAGGAAATAAAAGAATTATAATCATATCTTTTATTGATTACTTAGTGCATATGCAAGTGCTTACATGGAAACTAGAGGAGCTATTCCTTTGAGACAGGCTCTGTCACTAAATGATGTTGCTATGCCTGGCTTTTCTTTGTTTTTACAAACAATTATTTAAAAAAATGTTGTTAAAATTTTGTGTATGGGTATATATCTAAGTGAGTATATGCCACATGTGTATGGTATGTGTGCTAACCAGAAGAGAGTGTTGGATCACCTGATGTGGGTTCTAGAAATGGAACTCAGGTCCTCTGGGTGAGCACCAAGGGTACTCACCCTTTTTTTCTTCCTTCCTTCATTTTTTTAAATACAGGGGCTTGTTTGTATCTGAAGCCAGGTCTTTATGTGTTGCACCCTTCCCCCATGGGGATCTGTCTGCTGACCGCTTGTACTAGGAGCTTTTAGGGAAACACTTCTCTTCCCCTCCTCTCAGCAATGCCTGCAGCAAGTTCCTGTTATCCATCCTTTGTCTAAATGCTAATTCCTGTTTGGGGCCCACCTTTTGCTGGAGGGCCCTGGGAACATAGGTTTCTGACCTTGGGGATTTTCCACCATGCCTGCCTTTGGTATTTAAGGCTCTACCCTGGTAAGAATAAATGCCATTCTCCTTGTAAGAATGAGCCGCTGTCTTTGTCTTTAGTTTACATCCTCAGCCCTTTGCCTCAGATCATTGTGAAGTATTGTAGCACCATAGCTGCAAACACACCTGTGGCTCGCTACATTTATGTTTGTGCAGCAAGTGCTCTTATACACTGAGTTACCTCTCATCCCCAGGAAGCTTGTCCCTTGGTCTCATATGTAATGAGCATTATTTTTCTACTCTAGAAAAACGGGGTGGATATAATCTCCTGGAACTAAATGTTCTTGTACCTGTGAACTACCTTGAACAAATAAATGATAGGATCTATACCAGAACGATGAAAATCTTCCCCAAGATGTACCTAATTTGACTGCGTCAATGAAGCATACTAGCATGTATCACTTCCTACTGAAACATTTTGTTCTGCTTTCCACTACAATTAATGGCAAATTCTAGCCATGTGAGTTTGTATTCCCATCACTCAAGAGCAAGAGGCAGGACGATTACTTGTGGTCAGTGTGGTGGTTTGAAAGAAAATGGCCCCCAAAGGGAGTGGCACTATTAGATGGTGTGGCCAAGATGAAGTAGGTGTGGTCCTGTTGGAGGAAGTGTGTCACTGTGGAGGTGGGCTTTGAGATCTTATATATGCTCAAGATATTGTCCAGTGTTTTAGACCACTTCTTGTTGCATTTGGATCAAGATGTAAGGATTCTCAGTTCCAGCACCACATCTGTCTCCATGCTGCTTTGTTTTCTTCCATGATAATGGACTGAACCTCTGAACTGTAAATGAGCCACTCCATTAAATGTTTTCCTTTATAAGAGTTGCTATGGTCATGGTGTCTCTTCACATCACTAGAAATCCCCAACTAAGACAGCCAGCCTAGGCAATTTACTAAGACTCAATCTCACAATATAGAACAGCAAAAAAAGTTTTAGTAGTAGATTCTTGCCTCAAAGCTCTTAGCAAGAAAAGAAGTAGTATTTGCTACTTGTGCTGTCTAGTTTTATGTCAACTTAATACAGGTTATAGTCATTTGAAAGGAGAACCTCAATTGAGAAAACGCCTCTATAAGATCCAACCACAGGGCATTTTTAGTTAGTGATTGATGGGGAAGGACTCAGTCCATCATGTGTGGTGCCATCCCTGGGCTAGTAGTCCTGGGTTCTATAAGAAACCTAGCTGAGAAACGCATATGGAGCAAGCCAGTAAGCTGCACCCCTCCGTAGGCTCTGTATCAGCTCCTGCCTCCAGGTTTCTGCCCTAACTTCCCTTGGTGATGTACTATTACCCAGAAGTATAAGTGAAATAAACCCTTTCCTCCCCAAGTTTCTTTTGACCATAGGTTTCATCATAATGGTGGTAACACCAACTAAGTCACTGCCAAAGTCCCTATGATGGTCACAGTGCTGTGAATAGAGGGATGACTTGGGAACCATAAGATACATGAGTGAGTCAATGGATAAAAGGGCCAACAACCTTCAACATCATGACATCTCTTGAGTTTAGGTTTTGAGCCTAGCTCTCTGAAGTCCAGATGACTCCCACACTTCAATCTTTGGAATAAATTCTTTTGTTTGCTCTGTGGACCCTTGGCTGTGTTGCTATTAGACCTTTGTCCCAAGATGATAATTTTGGGCAAGAGAGAAGCTCAGTTTGACTGCTTCCTGCCAGCTGTGTCTACTATGACTATGCATGTCCACCATGTGTCTGCTTTGATTTGCCATGCAGCTGAAAAGGCAAAGATGAGGGTCTCTGATGAGAGAGAGAGAGAGAGAGAGAGAGAGAGAGAGAGAGAGAGGGGGGGGCATTCTGGTCAGCCCCAGGGTTCCATGGTGTTGTAGTCTGCACACAGGTGCAAAGGACCCCTTTAAAAGAAAGACCTCTGCCCACTTACGCTCTCTTTATGCTCTCTTCTCTTCCTGTTCTTTTCCAGCCCTCTTTTCTCCCCTCTCTCTTCACCTAGATTCCCCTGGGGCAGAAAGGACTTGTCCTGTCTCCCTCTTCACTTCTGTCCTTCTTCTGTGTCTCTTTACCTCTTTTCTCTTTCCTTCTCCCTTTCTAATAAAACTTCTCACTTAAGCTCTGTCTGCCTGGCATGTTTGTCTTTCCACCTCAGCTATCCTTGCCTGCCATGGAATCTGCCATGGAATCCATGCAAGGTTCCCTTCAAGCTTTATCATAAGAAATGTAAGGATTCAGGCATTATGCTGATCCTGCCCCTGACAACTGGCAGGTTGTGCACATGGGCATTCAGGCAGATACTTAGACAGCTCAAAGGGTTCTGTGTTGCGTGGTTACATCATGCGTTATGTAGCTGCGGAAGGACTCGGTACACATATGCAAGCTTTCCCTTTTAAGCTAGTGCCTCCCACCTGTCCGCCTCTTCTTCCTCTTCTTTCCTCTTCCTCTTCCCTTCCATCTCTGTTCCCGGTTGGTCAATCCCTCCCTTTGCTCCCTTTCCCCAATAAACTCCATGTGGGTTTTGCTGAGTTTTGTGGTTCATGTTTCAATCTCTGGCAGCTGCAGCAAAACAACAACACTGGCTCCAGGTGTCTCTGGTCTCTATATTTCAGAGTCATGCCAGCCCTACCACCTAGGGAGCTAGGAATTTTCATCATGTCAGTTGTGGGTAACAGTGGGAAGGAATTCCCATTTTTCTAAGATGATGTAGACAAGAGACAAGACCACTAGAAAAGTTAGTTTGGAACAACAGAGCAAGTTGGAGTCCTGTCAATGCCTTGGCAAGAGACTTATGGAAAACAGAGACAGGTATGGTGTAGGACAATGCAGGCCCATGCCAGACTTCAGCTGAAGAAGCCCTAACTCATAAAAAGCTACACAGAAAATTTTCTGCCTGCAGGCTTAACTGAGTGTCTGTGAAACCCAGAGCAGGTGGCCCAGCAACATAAGAAATCACCTGGGTTCTCAGAGGAAGGGGTATGGCATGGTGGGTAGGAATTTCCCAGAGTCCCAGAGATGAGCAAGAAGCAAGAAGAGGGGCCAGCCTACAAGCATGCGGCTCACCAAGCTTTCCTGAAATGTGGGCTCACAAATCTCTCTGACCTCACAGAAAGGGTCTTGTTCTTTGGGCAGCCCCACTGCCTGGTTTTAGGCACACACAGAGCCAAGCTGCAGTCAGTGGGGTGGAGAATCACATTTCCCTTAAAACATTCCAGTCAATCTTGTGGCTCCTCGAGTTTCTCTTTTGTCTTTCAAACTACTTGTTCTTAAGCTTTAGCTCTTAGGCTTTCTAGAAAAGCTCATACATTTATTCAATCACCCAATAAAGAAGTTACAATAAAAAATCTCCCTCATCCAGCATCCTGTCAAAAGTTTGAGAGACACAGAAACCTAATCTATTGGACTCAGCTACCTAACTCATTACTTCTGTTAGGTAGTGTTGCCTGGCCCTGGCATGAAGTCATTAGGTTAAAAATCCCCAGTGGAACTCAGGTTTCACTCTTACTTACATAGTAGGCAAGCACAGGTTTAGGGAACATCAAATTTCCAAACACTCATAGAATATGTGTAGAGGCAGTGATTCTCATGGGGATGCCCTTGGACTCTACCCTTGAAGGGTGACAACCCCCTGAAGCAACACACCTGGGGCCTGTGGAGCCCTGTAAGGAGGGAAGCTCAGCCCCTGCCTCCAGGAGGCTTAGATGCCACACAGGGACTCCTAGCCTCTGTGTTGTTCCTTTCTATATGTGTCCCTGTTAGTCTTTCTTGTTGCTGGATCTGCACCCAATGACTAGACTCTCTGAGAGGTCTCCCCTCCCCCAGAAGTCTAACTGTTGAATCCTCATTCCCTGACACTCAATGAACCCGAAGCTGCATGATAGATGTCTTAGTTACTATTCTATTGATGCCTGTCAAGAGACACCATGACCAAGGCATCTTATAAGGAAAGTATTTTATTGGGGGTTCCATAGGGTAAGTCCATTGCCATCATGGCAGGAAGCACATCAACAGGCAGGCAGGAAGGCAGGCAGGGGTGTGTTTATATATTCACACCGCAACCATGAGGCAGAGAAGAGAGGTAATTGGGAATGGCATGGGCTTTTGAAATTTCAAAGCCTACCCTCAGCGACACGCCTACAACAAAGCCATACCTCCCAACCCTTTCCAAACAGTTCCATCAAGCATTCAAATTTATGAACCTACTGGCCATTCTCATTCAAACCACACCGGCACATACGCCTCTTTCATTGTTCTGCCTACTCAGTACTGCTGAGAGTCCAAGAAATTACAGTTGGTGCCTAAGTCCCCCAAAACACATCCACATGCACCTTTAAACAGCATGTCACATCTCCAGATGAGAGACTGCAAGGGGTCAAAGTGACCAGAAGAAGTGCAAAGGGGTGAGGAATTAGGTTTCCACCACTCTACACGAAGATTACATGCCATAATTAAATCTCTCCAGTGATCTTGTCTCAGAACACTGTGCGAAGACTCCATATAAAGTCACCCTGAATAGATCTTCAGATCCTGGGGTCCTTAAGAAGCAACAACCCACCAATGTGAAAACAATTTCTCATGGGCATTTCTCCTGGGGTATGATGAGATTTCATTTGGGGCGAGATTAGGTGAAGGAGGCAAGAGTAACTAGAGAAATAGAAGAGAGTCTGGGACACATGTTTCCTTAACTTAGAAAATTCTGCTAAGAGTATTTACTTTCTGAGCATAGCTAAGTCGGTGGCACTTCTCTGGACCAAGTCCTAACTCGGCTCCTCTGGATTACATCACTGGGGTCTCAGGGCATCTCCTAGGGGCAGGACCTTCTGGACTCCATTTCAGTGTGGCTCTAAGGACAAGTGCCAGCCTGACACTTGTACTCTGAGGGACATACTGTGGCTGTAAGTCATCTCACAAATTCATGTTCCTGGGCGTCCTGAGTGGAGGTTGCCCATCACCAGGGAGCCTGTGCGTTGAACCAAGGACTACAAAGGTCGCCCGCGGTTGTCACCAGGCGCTGACAGGGGCCTGCCACCTACCTCGGTCACGATAGTAGATAGGAAGACGTCCTTGCTGTACTCCCAGCCATCCAGGCAGCTCTCCTGCTCCAGCTGCTCCAGGTCCACATCCAGTCCCGGTTCCAGCCCCAAAGCGGAGAAGTTGGCGATGGCGGCCAGTCGGTAGCGGCGGCACTTCTGGGGCACCTGTCGTCCGTCCTTCGTCTCCAACGGGATACTGTGGTTGCGCCACGCGCTGCTCAGGTTCACGGAGTCCGGTACCAGGCAACGGTGCTCAGGGCTCGCCGTCAGGAACACGGCTGACAAACCAGTGAAGCCGTTGGGGATGATGCTGGCGCTGAGTAGGAAGAAGATGAGGCGCTGGAAGGGGCCCCACTCGCCCAGGAAGGCGGTCACCTCGTCGTAGTCCCGCATGCTGTCCTCAGTCTCTGCTCACCAAGTGTCCGGTGAGACACTTGGTCGCAGGGGGCGGGGCACGGAGTACCTGTGCGCATGCGCACAGAGCACCAGTCACCCGTCTAAGGGAGGCGCGTGGACCGCACGGGCAGACCTTTACCAAGGGACGAGCTCGCGAGTTCCTCCCGTCGCCTCAGACCCGCCAGCGCCAAGAATACCTAGGGCGTGAGGCCATGACAGGCTCCGGGGCGGGCCTAGGCCACAGCTCTGAGGGGCGGCGTGGTGGGGTGGGGTAGGAGCCCGAGTGACCCGCGGTGTGCGCCTGAGGCGGACCAGGCCCAGGACTCAGGACTGGCTGGGCGGTGCGGAGGCGGGTTGGAGCCTGGCTTCAGAACCGGGTGGCTGGTGAGGGAGGCTTGGAATCCTTGACCACTGGCCCTGCGGTCATTGAGCAGGGTCGGGAGGTGAGGTCTCTTGGAGAGACCTATGGCTGGGGGCGGGGCCTCTACAGGCGCTAGGGAAGGGGGCGGGTCTTCTCAGGCCACACCCCCAGGAGGGCTCCTTATGGAAGTGGTGATCAAGTTGGGTGTTCACTGCAGGGGAGGCTTAAGATTTGAGTTTTATATAGCCTACCCTCTCAACCTTTGTGTTAGGGCTCAGAATGGGCACTGAAAGTCTGCCCCTTCAGAGGATCTGAGTTTGAGTCCCAGCACGCACTGGTGGCTTACAACCTTCTGTAGCCACAGTTCCAAGGGAACTAGAGCTCCTTTCTGGCCTTCTGAGCACCAGACACACACGTGGTGCACAGACACACATGCAGGCAAAATGCCCATTCACATAAAATAAAAATAAAATAGTCATGAAAAATAATCGAGACAGATTTCGAGACCGTGGTCATGAGACTGCAAACAATGAATTTGTTTTCAGATTCCGTTCTGTGCTTTATGTTCTTAAATCCTTCTGTCTTTCATCAAATTGATTTAAGCAAATGTAGAAATTTAGTTTCCAGATTAATATTCTTAGTCCTCAGATTAGTTATTTTTACAGTTAACAGCAGGAGCTGACTGGTAAAAATATCAAAGAAAACACCTGCCAGGCTTGGTGGCAAAGGCCCTTAATCCCAGCACTAGGAAGACAGAAGCAGGTGTTCCAGGCTGTCTCAAAACGAACACACAATCTCATAATGAAACCCATTATTTTGTGCAAACAGTATATCCTAAAGTTAAAAAAGATAAATATAAAAATAGCAACTGTGTGATTCTAAAAAGTAATATTGTCAAATGAGGAAGTTACATTTATAATTTCATCTATATTTATTTTGTAAAATGGGTCCTGATATACTGCCCTGACTTTTTCTGTAACTTTGACCCCAAATGACCACTTGTCTCATCCTCTCAAGTAGCAGGGACAACAGGTGTGCACCGCAGGTGCACACTATAATTACAATTGCTCTGGTAGCCCCTGTATTAGTAACAGTTCATGTTGCTGAGACAAAGTACTGGAGAAAACCAACATGAGGGAGAAGGGGTTTGTTTGAACTCACGGATGGGGTAGAGTCAGTCTCTGGGAAGGCACGGTGGCAGGCCTATGAGGCTGCTTGTCATCTGTCCTCAGCCAGGAGTGATGGGTGCTGGTGCTCAGCTTGCCTCCTCCTTTTCATTTAGTCCTGGACCCCAGGCCATGGAACTGATGCTGCCCACTGTTAAGGTTAGTCCACCCATTTCAACTAACCAACCCAGTCTAGAAGCTTCCTCACAGATATGCCTAGATGATTCCAAATGCAACATTGACCATCACAATTAAAATTAACCATATTAATAAAATTTCCAGATTTAGTAAACTAAAAATGTACCTGGTTAAACTAAAATTTTAGATAAAGAAGAAACAATTTTAGTTATAATTATGTCCCCTGCAGGGATATAGGAAATTGTGTTGTAAGTGGGTATCCTGGGTTCTACCTGGCAATGCTGCATATTAAAAGCTTATAGCGCTGGGGTGTGGCTCAGTGGGAGAGTGCTTGCCTGGCATGTGCCAGGCCCTGAGTTTGATCCCACCACTGTAGGAAAAACTTTTCTTTAAAAAGTATGAAATAAATTGTAATGATATATTTAACTCTATATACGTGGAATATTACCATTCCATCATAAAATTGGTGTGGAACGTATTGAAATGCATTTCATTCTTATTAAAATTATTAATCCCTGCTTCTCATACTAAAACAGGGCTTCACTGTGTATTTTACAGGACATTGCAGTTGCATCAAGTGAAGTGTACATTTAAATACTTAGAAGCTACTTCTAGTTAGTGACTACCTTATTGGATGGTATTATTTTAAGGCCTTAAAATTTTTGGATTGTTACTAATAATTTGAACATTTGCATTCCATTGTTTTCTCCTGTGGTTTTTTTTTGTTGTTGTTGTTGTTTGTTTGTTTTGGGAATTTAACCCAGGACCTATGCATGCTAGTTTACTTTAAATGATAGTTATGGTTATGTTTTATAAAGGCTGTGTATTCAGCCTCCTTAGGTTTTTTGTTTTGTTTTGTTTTTTGGTTTTTCGAGACAGAGTTTCTCTGTATTGCTTTGGAGCCTGTCCTGGAACTCATTCAGTAGGCCAGGCTAGTATTGAACTCACAGAGATCCACCTGCCTCTGCCTCCTGAGTGCTGGGATTAAAGGCGTGCGCCACCAACGCCTGGCCCTTCTTAGGTTTTGATATCGTATCCCCATGCTCCATCATCACTTTGTTAACTGAGCCATGTTCTCAGATCTGGAAAGACTTCTTCGTCTGCACTGGTGTTATGATCAGGCGACATGACACGAAGACGCGGTGTTCAGCAGAGTCTATTTGATGTGACTCTCAGACTCTTTAGCATAGGGTGGCAACCACACAGCAAAGATTCAGGGCTGCAGTCCAAGTGATCATTTGGCTATAGCCCCAAACGAGTTCAATTAAAAAAAACTACTCTCTTTCGAATGTGCTAGATCATCTCTACCCTTACACACACTCCCCGAAAGCACAGACACACAAGCACTGTTATCATCTAATAGTTTTGATAATACAATCAGTTTATTTGGGTAGTATTTTGGAAACGTGTTAATCTTCGTATGGATTTTGCCAGTCCTTGACTAACACATTTTGAAGAAAAATCTTACAAACTTATTTCTTTGAGTAGTTAGCTGTCCAGTTTAGAAGACAACATGTGTTTCTCCACAAGTCCAGCTTAATGCCCATTGCTTCTAATAGTCCCTTTCAGCAGTAAAGGCTTTGACTTTGTTTTGTTGAGACAGGGCTGCATGGAGTCCAGGCTGGTCTTACATGCCTGATGTAGCCAAGGATGACCTTGAATTCCTGATCCTCTTGGCTCTCCCTCTAGAGTGCTGGGATTATAGGCATGTTCCATCTTTCCCAGTTTATTGGACACATCTGATTTCCAGTTGGCTGAATGCCAAGGAACCCTTACTAGAATGCAGTGATTAGAACCTTGGGGCTTTCTTCTCTGTCCAAAGAGGCTGTTGATTTTTTCCCACATCTGAACCTGAAAGTAAAATAACTGCTGAAGAAAATTAAACAGTTAGGACTCTTCTCCTTAAAACACCAGACTGACATTGGAGAACATTTCTCCATTTGACCAATGAAAACCTGTGAACTCTAATTAAAGAACCTAACAGATGCAGACCTCATGTTTTATGATTTGAAGCTGCTTTCCTGATTAAACACAAAGCCTGGAATCTAAGCTCTTCAGTTTCCCTGAAGAAGGGATAGAGGGGCAGCAGGAAGTTCATAGCAAGACTGAAGAATTATACTGAGAAATTATAGCCATTCGATGAACTCTTCTCAAACACAGGCACCTGTACAAATTTGTGACAGACCAGTATCTACACAGATGGACTTAGCTTTATTATGGCCAGCCATGGTTAACACTTATCTCACAGAAGCCCTAGGCAGCCACGTGAAATATTCCCATGTAATAAATGGGAAGGCTGAAGATTGAGAAAACTTAATTTCCCCAACTTTATGTCATAAGTTTGAAGCCAGATAGACACAGCTCAGAGTCTCAACTTCTCCACCAAGCCACTGAGCGTTATGTCCGTCAAGCTGCACTATCACAGGATGTTTGGTCTTTGCCTCTGGGTCCTGGCACAGAGCTCCTCATCTCTTGTGGTTTCCTGGGTGATCAGGGTGATGCGTTGTTTTGGTTCTGTGAGGGGCTCTTAGCTAGCCCCAGCATGGGGACTGGCCTCCAGCCTTGATCTAGGAGCACAAACCTTTGTGGCTTTGTGCTCTCAGCCTCTGCAGAGAAGAGCAGGGTGGGGACAGAGTTAATGGCCAGTCAGGCCCACAGGGTGAAGAATCTGCAGACAGTGGGGTTTGGAGCTTCTGAATCACTGACCGCCTCTGCAGTCAGAAGAGTACTGCACCACAACCCACAGGAGCAGGAGCCCCATGCTCAGGGTCTTCCAGCACATACCTGCCTGCATCCCTCCTAAGACAGTGCTAATGGCAAGGGGAGAGTTTCCCTAGGCTCTGTGAGGCTTTCTAACAAGCAACGGGGAAAAAAAGGGAGCTGTAGGACCCCAGATTTTTATAGCTAAGTAAGACAGTAGTGAGTGACATGTGGTTGGCACCTGCAGTTTGAGGAGGGTGTGGGATTGGACCCTTGCACCTGTGGGGTCTGATGCTAACTGTAGTGTCAGAATTGAGCCAGATTGTGCAAACACCCAGATGTGTGTGTGTGTGTGTGTGTGTGTACACAAATGTGTATGTAAGTATGTAAGTGTATGTTGGGTGTCTTCACCTTAGTTTTTGAGGCAGTGTCTCTCAAAAAAAAAAAAAACTGGAGTTCACTGATTTGACCAGATTGTCTGGCCAGCAAGTCTCAGGGTCAGCCCTGTCACTGCTCTTCTGGTAATGGGATTACAGAAGTAATCCCTGGTTTTTACATGCATGCTAACAAAGCACAAGCCAAAATAAACTCTCTGTAGAAGCTGTTCTCGGCCACACATTTTATCACAGCAACAGAACAGTATCTACTACAGAAGATCACTTGGGAAATCAATTCTCTCCTTCCACTCTGGGTTCAGGTGCTCAGTCTTGGTTAGCTCCCTTTCTCTCCACGCCACCTCACTGGCTCCTCTATTTCATTATACATATGATGAGTAGCTTGTACATGCGATGCATACTTAAATCTTACCTTCTCTAAGCAGCCAGTTCCTCTCCTTGGCTGGAAATATGTCTTCCCCACAGACGGCAGAACTTGGGATAGAGCCTCTGTCTGCATTGTTTCATCCCTTTCCCCTTGCTTATCCACTTTGATTTTGTTACTGTTTTCGTTGCTTGGTTGGGGGCCAGGGTCTCACTGTGTAGGATGACCTTTGACTCTTGACTTGTCTCCCATCTCTGTTCAGTTCACATTTACACTAATTGGTTTGTTCTTATAAATTCATGATTTTGTATTTTTAGTCCTAAATATTTTTCATTTCTAGAATTTATTTTTGTATATTTGTGAGGATTCAATTTTCCTTTATTAAAATGTCTGATTATTTTAAATATGTATGTTTGCATGTAATATGGATGAATGGACACTGAGGGAGTTCATTATTTGATCCAGGCTGGTCTTGAACTCCTGTACTCATGTGACCCTCCTACCTTACCCTCTCTTGAAGCTTGGAGTACAGGTGTGTATGCCTTGCTCTTCCCAAAGGATTTTAAGTTGATACACGGTTTGTTTGTTTTAAATCATATTCTGAGTCCTCTTGTTCTCTTGGGCCTGAGCTCTATCCTGCTCACTGGTCTCTATTCCTACACCATTGCCACACCAGTATTCTTAGTGCCCTCAGCTGATCTCCACTCTGTGCTCCTCTTTTTCAGACCATGTTAGATATTCTCCCACGTTTATTCTTCCAACCCTTTTGCTACGTACCCTCTCACTTTCTGCATCTGCTCTAAGTTCTCTGGTAGAGCCACTCCAAAACTTTCAGGGAAAAAAAGCGTGATGATTCCAATCAGGACAGTCAGACTGCCCATGACAATGTAGGGCAGGAGTCTGTTATAGGCACCTGTAAAACAGAACAGCAGTCAGATGTGCATGGGCTCCTGGGAGTCATTTTGTCAGGGTGCAGACACTGTGAGAGCAGATGTGAGCTAGACATTTTCAGAAGGACAGTCAGCAAAATACCACAGGTTGTTCCAGTGGGCTGCCACAGCCTGCACTCCTACAATGATTTACCCCCCAGGTTGTACATTAGCATACTGTTAGGATCTAAGTTATTGCCCAACTGTGCATGACAGATGTCCCCTGGATAGAAGTCGTCACTATCAAAGCTTCCTTAGGTGGAGGTAACTTAAGGTGAGCGGTTAGAGGACTTAACAATGTAGCAGAGCATGAACTTTGGACATCTGGTTCTCTTGCCCTCATCTCTCTGACTCCATGCATAGATTAAGCAGTGCTGGGGTCAAACCCAGGGCTTTGTGCTTGCTTAGTAGGCAAGGTTTGCCCTGACCGAGGCCCATACCAGCCCTACTCCACTTCTCTTTTTGGTGCTACTGGGGCAGGAGGTGAAGAGACCCTCACCTTGCTGCTCCTCTGCACACAAAAACGAGAAACAACACACCCATGCATTTACTTTTTGTTTAGCTGATAAGGTAAACGCTGCTCTTGGGGCTTCTCTGTGGCCTTGTATTGCTAACAGGAATAGATTTTTATACTAAGGGCTCTTTTTTGGACTCTGCTTCTTGGGAACCTGTGGCCAGCACTGGATCATTTATGCATAGTTGAGAATATAGTGAGAAATGGCAGTGCCCTGTACAGTATGCTGTCACAGTATGCTCAGTGCTGCTGTGCTCAGGGTAGCTGTGCAGGGTATGTTAGGAAAATGTGTTTCTTATTATGTATGGATTTAGAGTCTGTCTATATTTTCTGAGAATTCGTGTGTGTGTGTGTGTGTGTGTGTGTGTGTGTGTTTCATCCTGTAGGTAATCAACTTATGAGCAAGAAAAATAAGGAAGTCCTAATAAAGACTAGGTTCAGAACACTGAACAATATTCTACTAAAGCCCCTTTTAATATTATTTAATACTGCTATATTTGATTATACAGAAACTAAAATTTTCTGTCTTGGGCAGGGTGGTAGTGGCGCACGCCTTTAATTCCAGCACTTAGGAGGCATAGGCAGGTGGATCTTTGTGAGTTCCAGGCCAGCCTGATTTACAGAGCTAGTCCTAGGACAGTGTCCAAATCTATACAGAGAAACCCTTTCTTGAAAAAACAAAACAAAGAAACAACAAAAAAAAAACCAGAACAAAAACATAAAGTAACTGTAAGTTATTACCTAGGAAAATATTTATAAAATATGTATAAAATGTATACAGAAGGCTAACTTCTTTGCATTATAAAGAACTCACATACATCACAAAGAAAATTTGAGCCTAGCCACTGAAGCACTGGGCAGGCCTCCACTGAAGCACTGGGCAGGCCTGCACAGCCGCCTCCGAGCACCTTTATCCTTACACTGTGTGGCACATGTTGTGTATGTGCTCCCACTCATAGCCCTTCTCAAGTCTGGTTCCACCAGGAACGAGGAGTCCTAACTCATGTCCGCTAGTTAGAACCTCTGCTCTTTTCATCCCTTTGCCTGCTTCCTTCTCACACTGAGGAGGTTATCCACATGAGAACTCAGGCCTGGAGCGATGGTTCAGCGGTTAGGACCACTTGTTCCTCTTGCAGAGGGTCCAAGTTCCATTTGCAGACCCACATGGTGGCTCATACCTTCCATAACTCCAATTCCAGAAGATCAGACACTCCCTTCTTATCTCCCTGGACACCAGGTACAAAAATGTAGACTTATATTCATGTAAAACAGCCGTACATATACAAAATTTGTTAACCCATACACACACAGAGAGACAGAGAGAGAGAGAGAGAGAGAGAGAGAGAGAGAGAGAGAGAGAGAGAGAGAGAGAGAGAGAGAATGTATCAGAGTCAAAGCAGGAAGACTGTTACTACTACATCAAAGGGTTCACTGAGAATCACAGAAAAAAAAAAACCACCATCTAGGGCTTTAAGATGAACTGTGCCTGAAATGGGGTTGTAAAACTGAGCAGCCAGAGTATGGAGACAGTGTGACCAGCGCAGGCACACACCAACTCCTCCTGAGGGAACTGGCCAAAGAAGGCCCTTGCTCATACACACAATGCTTATACACCCACACACAAAATGCACATAAAAATTAAAAAAGCTACTAATTTAAAGACAGAACAAGACGCATCTTACCCAGGTAAACAAAGTAGGGAGCGATGATGCTGCCCACTCTAGAAGCCATGGAGGTGATGCCCACAGCCATGTTCCTGACCAGGGTTGGGTAGAGCTCTGCAGTGAAGACATACAGCATGGAGAAGGCAGAGGTGACCCCAAATTTCCCCAGCATCACCAGGCCAATGGACACGAAGTTATAATCTGGAAGAGAGCTTCATTTCAGACAGGGTGCTTCTAGGATTTGTACTGAACTCAGTTACCTTATTGTCCTTTTTGCTGCAATGTGGTGGTTCCTCATAAAGTACCACTGGACAGAACTCTGTCCTCAAATGTCTTCATCAACAGATGGTTGGAGATGGAGGTGATGGGTGGCCTTGGACTTGGAGCTACTCTTAGTTTGGATTATTAATACATACTGTGGCCTCTGTCCACTTGTCTTATTTATTACAAAAGTTTCATGATGAGTTGTTAGATGCTAATACAATTAAATTTAATCTCTAAAAAGAGGGGCCCGTTATTCCTTTCCTGATTTTATTATTAAAAAATCTAGTTCTAGTTGGGCTTAGTGATGCATGCTTAAAAAAAACTTATTCCATTTTTTGTGTGGTGTACACATGCATATGCTGTTTGCATGATTTTGCATGTGTACAGTTATGCAAAACTAGAATCACATGTGAACCATCATGCCTGCCCAGCATTATTTGTTCTGGAATCTGAACTCTGGTCCTCATGCACTCTACCTACTCAGCTATCCCCCCAGCTCCTGGTGCATGCTAATAATCCCAGCTACTAATACTTCACTGGCTGAATCAGGAAGATCACAAATTCAAGACTAGTCTAGGCTATGTAATGAGTTCAAGGCCAGGTTAGGTCACTATATAAAAATAAAGGGCTGGGGATATGACTTCGTGGTAGGGTTTCAGCCAGTATAAGATGATAGGTTTAAACCTTAGTACTGTAGAGGTTAAAAAAGTTAACAACAGAGCCGGGCGGTGGTGGCGCACGCCTTTAATCCCAGCACTCGGGAGGCAGAGGCAGGCGGATCTCTGTGAGTTTGAGGCCGGGCTGGACCGATAGCCTCCTAAACAATACAGAGAAACCCTGTCTCGTAAAAACCAAAAAAAAAAAAAAAAAAGTTAACAACAAAAAGAAACAGTGTTCTTTGCATATTACAATGCATCAATAATATACCAGTCTATTTTTTAACCAAAGGAGAAAGTTAAACACACTAGGAAAAGGAAATATATCCCCCTTCCTTTACCTTTGGCTTTGGAATTTTTGTTATTGTTTAGTCTTACTGTACCATCTCCACATTCATTAGTTATTTATTTCTGTTGACAAGTGTGTGTCAGGGCTTGTGTGTAATGTGAGGGAGAGATGCTGGTGTTGGTTCTCTCCTTCCCCCATGGGGGTTCCAAAGATGGAAGTCAGGCTTGGTGAAAAGCACGTTTACCCACTGAACCTTTCTGCTAGCACTATCTTGCTGTTTTTGTTTGACAGTGTCTCATGCAGCCTGAGCTGGCCTCAAATTAGCTATGCAACCGAGACTGGTTTTGAACTGGTCCTCCTTCCTTTACCTCCCAAGAGCTGAGATTATAGGGATGGGCCACCATACCCTGCTGGGAGAGTTGTTGGGAAAATAGGAAACATCCTAGTCAGCTGTCACCTGCTTATCTGACTGATGGACTTTGGTGATGTCAGAGTTGAGCTATGGGGGAGTGGTGACTCGTGAGAGGCTGGTCACTGGTACTGATACTCTAGGCCATTAATATATCCAGGTTTTCTGGGATGCTGTTAGCCTGGGCTAACTTCTTACCTTCAGGTACCATTTGGATCAAGAGAAGCACACCTCCTCCACAGAACAGCACCCCGGCTATGATGTATCTCCGAGGCAGGTTTCTCAGCAGCAGCCAGGCTGTGAAATAAGCTGGAACTTCAATCAGGCCAGAGAGGAAGCAGTTCAGGTAGATATCTCCATGTAAATTAGGAACATTGAGAGACAGAGCAAAGTAACCCACTGAGGTTAGCATCCTGAAAGACAGACAAATGATAAAATCACAAAAAGATGTCCCATGAGTTTGTGATGGTCGTGAGTTGGTCTAGGTCCTGTGTCCTCTAAGCAGGCACTAACCTTGTGGGGCTATTTGAATGGAAATGCATTAAAGTGAGATTGTAAGTTCAGTTTCTCAATTGAAATGACACTTCACATGCTTAATAGCCACACAAGTCTGGTGGCTACGATGATGGACAATGCAGATCCCCAGTATTTCTGTCTCTGTAGAAAGTGCTGGAGAACAATGTCATTCTGAATAGACCACTAGTCAACAGTGCAGATGCCCCATGTGAGGACATCTGAGCATGACTGGAGAACACACATCTCTGAAGTAGGCTTTCAGGAACAAGCCGGGTCTCTGTCTACTAGACCAGGTGGGAACAGAGGACTAATCCAAAACAACATGAAAAAGTTAACTTTATTGCTGCAGAGAGCCAGTGACACTCACATGTGGTGTAAGAGCAGCTTGGATGGGGCTAGGTCTTGGTGATTATTGGCTCCCTGGTGCCATCAGTAGGGTACATTGCATGAGTGATATGTGCAGACAGCTAAGAATGAAGACAGCTCACAGAGGCTGTGGCCCAGGATGTTTCATACTGCTTGCTTGCTTGCTTGCTTGCTTCCTTCCTTCCTTCCTTCCTTCCTTCCTCCCTCCCTCCCTCCCTCCCTCCCTCCCTCCCTCCCTCCCTCCCTCCCTCCCTCCCTCCCTCCCTCCTATTCTCTCTCTCTCTCTCTCTCTCTCTCTCTCTCTCTCTCTCTCTCTCTCTCTCTCTCTCTCTCTCCCCTCTCTCTCTCTTTTATTTTTTGGGGACAGGGTTTCTATGTGTATCTATGACTGTACGGGAACTTACTGAAGACTATGCTGGCCTCAGACTCACAGAGATCCATCTGCCTCTGCCTTCCTGAGTGCTTGAATCAAAGGCATGCACCACTACCACCACCTGGCTGATATTTTGGAATTGCAAAACAGCATGGTTCTAAACTTCTGAACTAGAGAGTCTGCAAGTTCTAGTACTCAGGTGTGTGTGTGTGTGTGTGTGTGTGTGTGTGTGTGTGTGTGTGTTGCTATCTCTGGGGCAGGTAGGTTGTTATTATTTTTCCTTATTTCTTTGAAAATTTGTTATTAAATCTAGTTAATAAAGTCAGGTCATTACTTCTGTGCCTTAAACTCGAATGTTAATTTGCTACTGGGAGGCAGGTTACACTAACTTCACTGTTTAGTTCAGAAAGCAGGTGGAGACTTGACACTTCTGCTTTGGTCCCCAGAGACATCTGCAACCTCAAGCCCATCACCTTCCAAGTGGGGTCCCCATACTACAGACTTGTTGTTACCTATAACTTTCCCAGTATTCAGTTCAATCCATCCATCCATCCATCCATCCATCCATCCATCCATCCATCCATCCATCCATCCAAAACATGTCTAAAGACCTTAGAATTCCACAATTCTCGTTTTGCTGCAGGGGAAGCCTGGGCTTTGTCATATTCCTTCAAACTAAAGAAAATAAGTTACACACGGGTGTCACACATCTGCACTCTTGGAGCACTCATTGCTTACCACAGCATCACAGACATCACTGTTATTGTGGCAATGTTCCTAGTCTTAAACAGGTCCAGAATGAAAACTTTCTTCTGCTTCAAGGAATTTAGCTCCTGTAGCTAAAATAACATAAATAAAACATGAGATAAGGAGGGAGGCAGGAAGTACCTATGGGAAAAACTTGGGCATGCAACTCTTCTTAAAAATTTAATTTAAAATTATTATTAATATCATCATTATTGTTACTATTAAGACAGGGTCTCAGGCTGGCCTTTGACTCATAGTGTAGATGAACGTGATCTTGAACTCTGGACCCTCCTTTCTCCACCTCCCCAGTGCTGGGATTACTGGCATGCTTACCATGCCAGATTTGATGCTGGGGACTGAACCTTTATGTGTGTGAGGTGAGCACTCTACCCACTGAACTACATCCTCGCCCATTCCCACAATGCTTATAGAACCTTTGACACGCCTCCAAGTCCACAGATAGAAGGCAGCAAGGACATCTCCAAACATGGAATCATTCTAACTCTTTCTTTAAAACATAATTCTAAATTCAGACTTTGACAACTTCATGCATGCCTCTAACGGATTTTTGGTTATATTCCCCTCCCACTCCCTCTGGAATCTTTCTTCTTCCCAGCATGTTCTCCTCCCCCTTTAATACTCTGGTTACACCCATGAAGAAAATGACTCCCTCTTTCCCCGACAGCAGCCATTACCAACAATAGCTCCTCAGCTGGGACCAAGGACTGATGTGATCTCCCACTCCCATGCTGGGATGTTGAAGAGTTGGTTGGGTCTTGCAGGTAAACAAGTTGCTTTGGGTTCCTCAGTGCAATGGCTATGTCATGTCCAACAGCTAGCATTTCATATAATTTCTCCTCATCATCTGGCTCTTGCTCTTTCTGCCCCATCTTCCATATTGTTTCCTGAGTTTCTAATGCTTTAAAATGCTTAATGTAGCCCATTTTAGATAGAAGCCATCAAAATAAACGACATCAGCCTCATTGATGAGTGCTGACCAGCTTTTCCTCCACTCAGCTTTAACATGTGAGTAGTCTTTGTCACACTGAGCTAGGATCTGTAAAGCCTATTGAATTGAGAGAGTCATGAAGCTCCAAAGTGACTAGGGGGCAGTGTGTGTGTGTGTGTGTGTGTGTGTGTGTGTGTGTGTGTGTGTGTGCATGTGTGTGTGGGAGTACATGTGTAGGCCCAAGGTCATGTTGGGAATCATCTTCAAGTACTCTCCCATCTCATTTGTTGAGACTGGCTCTTTCACTCAAACCTAGAGTCTCTGACATGGCTAATCTTGCTGGCCTGATTGTTCTAGGCATTCCATATGTGGTGGTTTCAGTGAGAATGCCCCATAGGGCCATATGTTTGAATGCTTGGCCTCCACGTGGTAGGACTATTTGTAAAGGATTAGGAGGTGTGGCTTTGGTGGAGAAGGTGTGTCACTGGGGGCAGATTTTAGGTTTTGAAAGGTATACTCTTCCCAGTGTGTTCCCTCTGCCTCCTACCTGTGGATCAAGATTTGAGTTCTCAGTTTTCCTGCCACCAAGCCTTTTCCATTATAGACTCAACCTCTGAAACCCAAGGTCAGTTGAATGATTTAAGTTGCCTTGGACATGGTGTTTAGTTACAGCAATGGAAAAGTAACTAAGATACTCTGTCTCCACATTCCAATCCTGGAATTATAAAGGGACCACCATGACTTCTAGACACTTGTTTGGGTTCTAGGAATCTGAACCTGGGTCCTCACACTGGCATGGCAGATACTTTTACCAATGAGCCATCTCCTCAGCCCTCATGGTGCCTTTTCTCTGTTGCACATGTGCATGACTTATCTCCAGCAATATATAATATAAGTATAATATAGTTGTTAGCACAAAGTAAAGCCTAAACTTATGAATTGGAAGTCTTCAAGCAGGGCTCTAGGAATTCCACATACATCACAGAATCCAAGGGCCAGGTTAGATCAAAACATTCCACTTCTATAGGGCCTCTGTTGAAATGCAGACTGCCAGGTCCCCTCAGGCCAGCTTCCTCTGAATCTTTCACTGGGACTGGAGACCTGGGAGCCTGTTTACTTAAAGCTTCATAGGTGACCATGATTAGCAACAAGGTGCAGAAACATCAGGACAGATGATTGTCTCTGGTCTTGGAGGAGCCACCCAAATGTCTCTGGATAAGGTACATGAGTAGGTTGAAGGGGCTTCTTCCAAAGCTAGGGAAGCTTAAGGTTACTCTCGAAGATGATGTGACTCTACATGGCTTCCTGTCCAAGTTAATACCACAACCCCTGACATAAACTGAAAATTGCCATTCATTAGAACATGCGTTTGATCCCAGAGAAACCCAGGAAATCCACAGCTCAGTAGCAGTGTGCTCTCTGGTAAGTCATTTCTCTGTGCTTCCATTTCCCTTTCCTGAAAAGTGATGCTCATAGCTAGACCGAGCAATGGCTGATGTGAGCACCTCGTGCGTCGGACAGACTGCCTTGTACCTAGTAGTCTCTTCACTGGTATTCTGAATAGGCTGCACTGGCTGGTGCAGGCTGCTGCAGATCTTCCTACACAGGGTCCTAGCAAGTCCTAGCAGGGGAGATGTCGGGGCTAGGAAATCAAGGACTCCGCTTCCCTTAGTAGGTGTGTCCAGTTCACATAACAGCAGGCAGAAAAAAGGTCCCATTAGGGGTTTGTGTTTCTGAACTTCGTTCTTTTTTGTTCAAGTCAATTTTATGATGTTTTCCTCTGTGTGGATATTATCTCCGTAACTACACTGCCACACGGTACATTTCTTGAATATTGGAATGAAGCTTTCTATCTGCTAAATACCAATACACACATTGCCCCGAAAGGCAGACACATTATTTATGATCTATGTCCTTTTTGTACCTAGTTAAGTTTACTAGGACTTGGATGACCTTTTGAATTCAAACAGCAAAGGATTAAGGAAGCTTTGTTCAGGAAGCCCTCTGAGAGGTTGGATTCATAGCCACTGGGGTGAAGATCCCAGCCATGGCCTAGGTAGCTGCTTTTGGAAAGGGTCCTGATAGCCAGAGATGGTTGAAATCCTTGGGTTGTATCACTGACATGTCCCCCATCTTCCCACAGAGTCCTACTTGCTGGTGGAGCCAGCAGTGCAAGGGCTAGCACACATCATACAAACCACAGACGCAGTCACCAGGGCCGTCTTCAGGCGTCTTGAGGGCTCTCTTCCTCATCCTGACCAGTAGTCCCCTGACCTCTCCACTGGCCTGTGTTAATCTCGCCGTCCTCCAAATGTGACTTGCCACTTCAGGCGTTGGGCACCCTGCTACCTTTCTGTGTGCTGCTGGCATGTAGTGTCTGCTCGCTGGGGTTCTTAGCATCTTTCCTGTCATCATTTCCCTTTGCAGCAACTCCTCTTGCCTCCTTCAGATATTCTCTGACCCTTTAGTGTGGGGGCCGTGTCTCAGCTTTCTTGTCTCTAGGAGCCAGCATACTATGACATCCCTAAAATCCTCACTATCACAATGTGAGTAAACCCCATGGCATACCAGCTTTCCCTCATGGCCATCTGCCCTCAGGAGAAGAGCCTCGAGCCTGTGCTCTCAGGCATTGAGGTCTTGGACATGCCAGGCACACCAAATGAAGACATGTACTGCACCCCTAGGGGGCTGCGCTGTAATTCAGGGTACAGTGGGAACCAGCCCTCAGATGCACTTTTTCCAGGGATGGTATTTTAAAAATCATCAGTGTAAGAGGCCTGCTTTGGGTGCCATCGGGTGCCTGGACACTGTGGAAGACACACAGAGTACCCCCCTGGGTGCCATGCAGTGAGTGTCACTACCATGAGCAAATGATGGAGAAATGGGAAAGGAAGCTAAGCAGAGTGGTCCATTTGCTGTGGAGAGAGGAGAAAATGGAGATGGGAAGGCATTGAAGAACAGGCTGGTTTGAGTGGCCTGCGTGGTCACCTGAGGCCACGTGATGTCCAGGCCCTTGCTGCCACTGAGGGACATGTCTGGGTCTGTGACCCTGTGGCAGCTGGGGTCTGTGTGGATGTCTGTAGCCCATGTTACCACTGAAGGCCAGCCCGGGTGGAAGCCTGCGGTCTGGGCCACCACTTGAGGGCAATGCTGCTCCAGGGGCCATACTGATTAGAGGGGCCTGTGCTGCCACCTGAGGCCATGGTGTTGTTCCAGCCTGAGCTGTGGCTGAGGGCCCTGGGGTCTGGTCTGCCACCTGGGGCCATGCTTAGGTCTAAGAGCTGTGCTGAGCTGGCCCTGCCCCTCACTGGCCCTGGGAGAACTGGCCCCAACCCTCACCAGGTATCCCAGGGGGAGAGCTGGCACTGCCCCTCATAGGAGACCTAGCCCTAGTACCCTGGGCACAAGGGATCTGGGCCACCCCTAAAGGGCAGCTGCAGCAGGAGAGCTGGCCCCTATGGCAGGGGTGTGGGAGAGGTGGCTCTGCTCCTTTACTGAGCAGGCGTCCCTGTGGAGGCCCAGACTGATCAGCTCAAGCTGCCATCCCCACCCATATCCAGGGCTTTGAGTTGGCCTACTCCAACATCTACCCTACGAGCTGCTGGAGCATGTGAAGGGCTGGTCCTGCAGAAACGTAGCTACAGGATTCATATGACGCAGGGCAATAGCAGAACATCCAAGAGGAGTTTCAGTGAGGTCCAGTACTGAGAGTGTACTGGAGGCCAGAGGTCTGGAATCAGAGCAATAGCTCATTGCAATGAACACTTGCAATTAAAGCTATTTGGGCAAAGGGGTATACTGTGTGACACATAACAGCTCCCAATGCCACCATGACAAAGGAATATGTGACAGAGAGGTGGAAAAGATGAAGGAATGATGTGGATTTGTTTTCTTCTATTGGAGTCAAGGATGCAGGACGAACATGGAAGGACTAGGAGAGGAGTGGGATTGGGGTGCATGATGTGAAATTCCCAAAGAATCATTAAAATGTATGTTATAAAAATCATCAGAATATAACTTTGCAATGGTTAGGCACAAATGCCAACACAAAGTTGGAAACTTGCAAAACAAAAAGGTAGCTTATTCAACAAATGATGCTGGCAAACTGGATTGCTACCTGCAAAGAATGAAATCAGTTTCCTATCTTTCACATGTTCAAAAATCAAATCAAAGTGGATAAAAGGTCTTAATTTAAAACTGGAAATGCTGAAACTTCTAGAAGAAAACTTAAATACTCTTCCAGATGCTGGGGTGAGGGAGAATTTTCTGAACAGAGCCTTACCAGCACAGGAAACCCCCAGAACCAGCAGGTAGGACAAGATGCAATTAAGTTTCCACACAGCAAATGACCACAGAGCAAATCACTCATAGAATGGGAGAAATTCTTTACCAGCTACAGTGCAGGCAAGGCGCTAATGTCCAAAATTCACAAAGAATCACACAAATTAAGTACTGAGGGAATAAAATTGCCACTCAACAACTGGGGCTTGTGAATTGAAATACAGTTAAAACAAAACAAAACAAACAACAACAACAACACAAGCCAGGCAATGGTGGACATGCTTTTAATTTCAGCTTTTGGGAGGTAGAGGGAGGAGGGCCTCTTTGAGTTCAAGGACAGCCTAGTCTACAGAGTGAGTTCCAGGACAGCTAGGGACACCCTGTTTCAAAAAAAAAACCAAAACCAAAACAAACCAAAGCACCATTGTTTTTAATGTATAAATAATCCTTTAGGTATATTTTTAGAAAGAGAGATGACATCTTACTACATTCAAGCTGGCCCTAGGCTGGACAACAGGTGAGCAGCACCATGCCTCCCAAGACTTTATCTGAGAATGTAATCATGATTACATCCCTGATACCCAGTGCAGTGCCTGGTGCATTGTGGGCACTTAACAAATAGTGAGTTACATTAAATTCCGTAAAGGAAAGGCTGCAGAGCTGATTTCAAAAGGAATGTGCTCACTCACCTCCAGAGGATCAAATATCACTGCAGGCGCCACGATGCTGTTCATCTTTGCAGCTTTCTGGATGATCTGTTCTGCCTCTTCAAATCTCCTCTGGGATATCAGCCACCGGGGAGATTCGGGAATAAACCTAGGATTCATTTGCACTGGTTCCCAACCTTTTACAACCTTTTGATGTTAGCAAACACACATAGCAAAATAATCCTAGGTCATTTTAATGTTGCAAATACTCTATATTTGCACAAAAATTCTATTTCTATGGTACAGTATGACATTTCAATGAATCTGTGTCAAACCTCTGGGCAAGCTCGTGACAAGTTTCTGGACTGAGCTAACTGAGGTGGGATGACAGACACCCTGATGTGGCTGGACTGAATGAAAGGAGAAAGTGAGCTGAGCACCAACAGTCTGCCCTCTCTGCTTCCCGTCTGTGGACACAGCGTGACCAGCAGCCTCAAGCTCTTGCTGCCACGGCTTCCCTGCAGTGATGGACTGTACCCCTAAGCTGTGAGCCAGGGCAAACCCTTCCTTCCTCATCAGGTATTTTGTAAGAGCAACAAGAAAAGCAATATGGAGCTTCTCTTGGGTGCAGAGTTGTGTGGAGTGCGGCCTGCCCTTCCTTACTGACTCTCAGCCTGGGTTCCAGAGGAAACTTCCAGATAAACCAGCATAATATCTAGCTCTTAAAAAGAGATCTTTCAAGGATTAGTAGATTAGGAGCACTGACTATTCCTCCAGAAGACCTGGCTTCAATTCTTAGTATCTACATGGTCACCAGCAACTGCCAGTATCTCCAGTTCCAGGGGATCCGAGGCCCTCTTCTGGCTGTCCCCGGTACTGCATGAATATGGTACACAGACACACATGCAAACAAAAACCCGTACACATATAACTAAGAAAAATTAAGTGCTCTTTCAAAGCCAGTGAAGTAAACAGCAAAACAAACCAAGAAAGGTTATTTTTCCCAAATATTAATTCCACGTGAGCCTTCATACACCCCTCACTCTGTAATATTACTGCTGAGAAAACCACAGCAGGCAAAGGGGGACACTTGTCAACTCCTGTGGCTGCATGACAGCTGCAGAAAAATGAAGGTCCTTCTAGCCAGTTTCCCAGGCAGGTGTCACAGGGCAACAAATAGGACTAAACTGTGAATCCCATAAAGTGACTGAAGAAACCGTTGTTACCTTAGTCACGTAAGCAGGTGGCAATTGAGCCGTTAGTAAAATGGGTCATTTCTAGAAGACTGGATTCTGATAGAACACAATAAAACCAAGATGAATTAGAGAGAGGAGAGGGAGGGAGTGAATAATTGGGCAAGTGGTCCCCTTTTCTCTTGTTTAAATTCAAGAAAGTAAAGAAGAGAAATTCTGAAGAGGGGGCTGTGGCTAGTACTTTATTTCCATTTTTAAAAAATCTGCTCTTGTCGGGCAGTGGTGGCGCACGCCTTTAATAACAGCACTCTCAGGAGGCAGAGGCAGGCAGATCTCTGTATTAGAGGATACCCTGGTCTACAAAGTGAGTTCTAAGACAGCTAGGGCTATACAAAGAAACCCTATCTCAAACAAACAAAACAAAAAACAAGAAATCTGTTCTCTTCCTGAACCCTCTAGTTATCCCACCTGGTAAGACTTAGTCGAGAATCTCCAAACTTGGCTATTCCCACACGTGCTGTTCCAAACTGGGTTGGGGAAGCCTTTGAGGGCATCATCTCTGTGACACACCCCTTGCCCAGTATGCACAGAACCCTAGGTTCAATCCCCATATTAAAATGAATATTTCTATGTGTGTGGGGGGTCCATAGGAGAAATAACACCTTCTCTAAGACTGTTCAAACACAGCTAATTTGGGGAGCTTGGAATATAACTCAGGGTGAACTTGCCTAGCATGCATGAAGTTCAGGGCTCCATGTCTAGCACTGCATAAGTTGTTTGTGGTAGAAAACACCTGTTATCCTAGCATTTGGGAGGTAGAGGCAGAAGCATAAGAAGTACAAGGCCACCCTTGGCTCCTATTGAGGAGTCCAGGGCAAGCCTAGAATACAGGAAACTCTGCTGAAAATAATTATCATTTTTCAGGAATACACACATGTATATATATGTATATATGTGTACACACACACACACACATCCCAAGTATACTTTAGATGCTAACTATGAAGAGCAGTTATATGTTCCTTGTTCTCTGTAGAATTGGTCCCAGGATCCCTGGCAGACACCAGAATTCTCTCATGTTCAACCCTATTACATCAAATGGCATAGCCAAGCACAGTGGTCTGTGTGCCTGTAGGCTAGCTACTCAGGAACCTGATGTGGGAGGACCACTTGGACCCAGGAGCTCAAGACCAATTTATGCAACATGACAGGGCCTCATCTAAAAACAAAATTGGGACTAGAGTGTATCTCAGTGAAAGAGTGCTTGCTAGCATGTATAAGGTCTTGAGTTCCATCCCAGCACAGCAAAGCAAAACAACTTCAATAAAATAGGTCTAAGATTTATATTTAATCTATGCACATCTTATATACATGTATCTCTGGATTACCTATAATATCCAGCACAATGTATAACACTCTATTTGTGGGGAGTTTGCTGGGTATGGGCTTTGTGTATTCTGTCTGTCAGCTACCCACCATGTTCAGGGCATTATTTTCTGGTTCTGTTCTTTACATCACACATGTGGGTAGCTGCGGAGAACTCAACTGTGGTTGAATAGAGAAAGAAGATTTCTAAAGAATGAAAAGTGCCCCAAACTAAGGACAAAGTTAAAAACATTGCACAATAGTACCAGCCCCACAGACAACGAGAAAATGGGCATGAGGCTGGGATAGGAAGCATCTGGAAGAAGACTAGGATGCCTGAGAACCAGGCTTTGCACAGTGCATGTGCCCACCCACAGAATGCAGAGAGTGCTGGAAGCTTGGAGGCTCCAGGCTGCCTCAGAGAGCATGTAGATGCAGCGAAGTGAGCAGTGAGCTCATCTCTGGGGAGGCCTGTCTGCCATAGCCAAGGGCTGACTGGGAGCGGAGTTGTACTCACCACCACAGGGGGGCACACAGCACCCCAGGAAGTGTCAGTGCCAGCAGCAGCATCCGCCAGTCCCGGATGAAGTATGCAAACAGAGGCAGCACCATGTAGCCGATTGCAAAAAATGTGCAGACTCCTAACGTGGAGAAGATAATTCGAACTGACTTGCTCAGAATTTCAGTTCCTGTCCAAAACAAGGGGGCAGAATTAGCATGTCCACTCTTCAGCATTTGTTTTTTGAGATAGGGTTTCTTTCCATTACTGGGGATCGAACCCATGTATGCTTGACAAGGACGTTATCAATGAAACCAAAACACCTGCCTCTGAGAATGCTGCATTTTCAGAGTAAGAGGGAGGTGGGAGACACAGAGAATGTATTGTCCAGGAGACAAGAAGTGACTCTTTTGAGACACTGTGTGGGATCACAGCTTGTCCACAACTCTCATCTGTATGTGAGCAGACACTGGCCTATGAGACAACAGTGGTGCTCCAAGCTGTCAGGACACACTGTTGTCCTTGAACCCTCGTACATGATGTCCAGAAGTCAGCTGCTTCTGGGACTTCCCAGAGCTGGCAGCCAGCACTGGAACTGATGTTCTGCAGGAACTTCCCCAAGGAAGGAGCTGTTCTGCTGTCCCTGTAGTGGCAGTCCAGGCACTAAACACACACCCAGTGACCAGGGCAAAGGCTCAAGGCCATGCACAGTTGGCAGTGTTTGGGGACGGATGTGCTGGCAGCTGGTTTCTGTCCTGTGCAGCAAGCAGCCCAGCAGGTCAGTAGCAGCAGGTGTTCAGAGATGATGCTGTCACTCAGGTCAGGATTCTAGCACATTAGAATTCTATCCACTCTAAGCCCTCTGACCCAAGGACAGAGATATGGCCAAGGACAAGAGCTTGGACTTTTGTGTAGGGCTTGCACATACTAGTAATACTGATTGCCAAATTGAAGGATCAAGAATCACCCAGAAGACAAACCTTTGAGCATGTCTGTGAGTTTCTGGATTGGGTTAACTGAGTTAGGAATACCCCTCCTAAATGTGGGCAGCACCATTGCATGGGATGTGGTCCTAGTCTGAATAAAAGGGAGAAAGTGGGTCACACTCCTCTGTGGTTTCCTTCTCTTTTTTATTTCTTTCAGTTTCTTGAGAAAGCTGAGGCTGGGCTTGAACTTCATAGTCTTCTGCTAGGTGTCTCCCAATTTCCACAGTGCAGACCAGACTTCTAACCCCAGGGCATTCCCTCTCCTGTAGACTCTTTCCCAAGGGTGGTATCTGATTACTTCGAGTTCCATGAATATCATTTCCAGATCTTTCCTTACTTTATGAATGAACACATTCTACCATGGCCTGGTTGTCTTTGGCTGAGATTATGATATGATAATGAATGGGTATGTGGGGTGTGTGTGTGTGTGTGTGTGTGTGTGTGTGTGTGTTTGTGTGTGTTCTTCCTAAGCAACAGAAATCTAGAGGCAAAGAATCTGACCATGTTAAAGAAAATCACAGAGGACTAAGTGAGACTCTTGTTTATTGTGAAGTCAGTTGATAAACAGTAGCACTGGGGCAGGGTCTTAGACCAGATGCTAACAGACTTGGGATGAGTTGGCTATGCACCAGGTACCAGGCTAGGACAGAGATCTGCCAGCCTGTGGATCAAGGTGAACTGTATGAACACCTCCTTATTAGTCCTAATGCTCTATAACTTTTAGGATCTCTCTCTTCCTTATACATTGCTGTCATTTGAGTGAGAAATGTCCACCACAGGCTTGTGCATTTGAACAGTTAGCTTCAGCTGGTGTCACTATTGGGGAAGATGATGGAGCCTTACTGAAGGAAGTACTCTAAGAGTAGACTTTGGGGTTTATAGCCTGACTCCACTTATTTTTCTCTCTATACTTATGTGGGAAGAAAATGTTATCACTCTGTTTCCTGACTGCCAGGTCGGCCTTATGCTCCTGCTGTCATGCCTTTCCTACCCTGATAAGGATGTAGCCTCTCTGGAATTGTAAACCAAAATAAACCCTTTGTTCCCTAAGTTGCTTTTTGTCAGGGTGTTATATCGCAGCCACAGACAGTAACCAAGAGATACATGATCATCATCGTCATCATGTATTATTGTTATCATCATCACCACTATCATCACCATCATTAGCATTGTCACCACCATCGTTATCATCACCATCCTTGTCACCACCATCAATCTTCACAGTCGTCACTTTTCTGAGCAGTTCTTTAAGGCCCATTCCAGGATAACTGCTTACATAAATGATCTCTTTGACTCTAGTCTTACGAATATTCAGCCGAGACATAAATAGTGAAAGACACTTGTCTTTAACTGTATCTGTATCACTTTAATGTATCTGTAAACTGGGTGTGACACCTCATACTAAAAATCTCAGGACTCAGGAAGCAGAAGGAAGATGACCGGGAGTCTGTTGACTGTATACATTCTGTTCAATATCAGCTTGAGCTACATGAGCCCATGTCTCAAAACAAAACAAACAAACAAAAAACCACAAGCAAATGGGCTGGGGGTTCAGTGGGTAAAGTGGTGGTTGATCAAGCATAAAGACCTGAGTTTGAAAACCAGACATGGCTGCACAAATCTGAAACTCTAGCACTTATGGATGGAAACAGGAAGACTCCAAGCTTCCTGGCCAGTCAGTCTAGCTGAAATGGGTAAGTTCCAGATTCAGTGAGAGAGTATAGTGGAAGACATATGACATTAACTTCTGGTGTCCACGCATGCAACATAAGAGTACCACACAGGCACATATACACACATGAATATCACACATGCATATACACATACAAAACAAAAATTTTAGAAAACCCCTAAACCCAGAGCAAACAAATAAAGCCCAACACAGTGATGTAGCCAGGGTATAAGTCATATCCATTGACTTATGTGCGTAGCCTTCAAGAAGAAAATTTCCTGGCCAAGCCCATGACCTTATAGACCAGTCCTTTAGCTGGATGTTAGTGAAGACACAAGGGAGATGAATGAGGCCATGAATGTCTTTCAGTCCTTCCTGGGATAGCCAATAAATTGGCTAAGAACCAAGCAATTCTCTCTAGGGAACACCAGGAGAGGGCCCCAAGTCTGGCAGATGCAATAAACTCTCTGTGCTCACCTGGAAAAAAACCATGGCAGAGACGACTTCCAGCTCTGCTCACCAGATCCCTGGCCTCCTCCTCTGCCCCACAGATCCGTGATCCCAGGCAAGGCCCGGCTTCTCAGTGTCTCCTGAGAACAAAATTCTTACATCCAAATCAAAGCCATGCCCTGGCTCTGGAGAGACCGTGAGCAGCCCTAGGAGATCATGCCCACTAACTGGCTCCTCCACGCAGTAAGCTGCCTTCCCTTTGCACCAAGGCTTTGCCAGTCTGCCCAGTGTGCCCCGGTACCACCAGGCACACTCCATGAGGAGGCAGCAGGGCATGCACCTCGATGCCACTGAGGCCTGCAGCTGATTCTAGCTCAGGGAACAAGTCTGGGAAATGGGCATCTGCTAGGATGGGCTGAGGGGGCGTGTCCCACATCGCAATGGGGAGAGGGTGTGGGCTCCTCTATGCTAAGTCCCCCTATGATGGCTAATATTGCTTGTCAACACGGTGGGATCTAGAATCACCCAGGAGACAAATCTCTTGGTGCATTTGTGAGGGAGGTTCTTGATTGGGTTAACCGAGCAGGAAAGATCCACCTTAAATGTGGATGGCGCCAGGGTATGGGATAGTGTGCAGGACTGAATAAAAAGGAGAGCAAGAGCTGGCACAGGTGTTCATCTCTCTCTGCTTCCTGACTGATGACACAGTGTGATCAGGGGTCTCACACTCCTGCTGCCATGACATGGAAAATAAAAAAAATTTTTTTGAGTTAAGCCAGTCTATGGTATTTGGCTATTCCATGTCATTCAAACAGATGAGGACAAAGTTGTATTTCAAGTTAAAAGCATTCAAGGGCTGGCATGTACATCCAATATACAGTGCATGCAGGAGAACTGTGGTTTGATATGCAATATCACAAAGATAAATACTTTAACAGATAAGTGAAAATAATAAGAACATAATTATGTGGTTGATAAAAGCTGTATAACCGATGTAGCTGAATTTCAAAGAAATCTGAATTTTCTGGTAACCAAAGTTATGGAAGGTGCCATCAGTCGTACACTTACTGAAAGGGAAACATGTGGGCCAGAGGCAACAAGCTTTAAACACATCTAAAGAACTGTTATAGCCAAGTGAAAGACCTGTATGACAATAACTTTAAGTCTTTGAATGAAGAAATTGAAGAAGACATCAGAAAATGGAAAGCTATCTCATGCTCTTAGATAGGTAAGATTAAAATATTGAAAACGTCAATCTTACCAAAAACAATCTACAGATTCAATGCATTACCCATCAAATCCCAGTAAAATTCTTCACAGACCTCAAAAGAAAAATACTCAACTTCATATGAAAAAAACACAGGATAGCCAAAACAACCCTGTACAATAAAGGAACTTCCAGAGGCATCACCATACCTGACTTCAAACTCTACTGTAGAGCTACAGTAATTAAAATAGCTTGGTGTTGGCATTAAAAACTGGCAGGTGGACCAATGGAATCAAATTGAAGACCCTGATATCAATCCACACACCTATGAACACCTGATTTTTGACAAGGAAGCTAAAATTATAAAATGGAAAAAAGAGAGCATCTTCAACAAATGGTGCTGGCATAACTGATGGCCACATGTAGAATAATGCAAATAGATCCATAGCTATTGCCATGCACAAAACTCAAGTCCAAACGGATCAAACACCTCAACATAAAACCAACCACACTGAATCTCATAGAAGAGAAAGTGGGAAGTGGCCTTGAACATATTGGCACAGGAGACCACTTCCTAAATAGAACACCAGTAGCACAGACCCTGACAGCAACAACAAATAAATGAGACCTCTGGAAACAGAAGCTTCTGTAAAGCAAAGGACATGGTCAACAAGATAAAACAGCAGCCTACAGAATGGGAAAAGATCTTTACCAACCTCTCATCTGACAGATCTCCAAAATATACAAAGAACTCAAGAACTAGACATCAAAAGACCAAATAATCCAATTAAAAAAATGGGGAACAGAGCTAAACAGAGAACTCTCAATAGAGGAATCTCAAATGGCCAAAAGACACTTAAGGAAATGTTCATCAGAAAAATGCAAACCAAAACCAACTCTGAGATACTATCTTACACCTGTCAGAATGGCCAAGAGCAAAAACTCTGATGACAGCCTATGTTGGAGAGGATGTGGAGTAAGGGGAACACTCCTTCATTGCTGGTGGGAGTGCAAACTTGTACAGTCACTTTGGAAATAGTATGGCCATTTCTAAGAAAATTGGAAATCAATTTACCTCAAGAGTCAGCAATACTACTCTTGGGCATATACCCAAAGGAGGCACACTCACACCACAAGGACACTTGCTCAACTGTGTTCATAACATCATTATTAGTAATAGCCAGAACCTGGAAACAACCTAGATGCCCCTCAACCAAAGAATGGATAAGGAAAATGTGATACATTTACACAATGGAGTATTACTCAGCAGTAAAAATAAAACAAAACAAAAAACAATGACATCTTGAAATTTGCAGGCAAACAGAACTAGAAAAAGCCTCCTGGGTGAGGTAACACAGATCTAGAAAGACAAATACAATATGTTCTCACTCATAAGTGGATATTAGACATAAAGCAAAGGGCAACCAGTGAAGGTCCCAATCCAGAGAACCTAGGTATCAAAGAGGACCCAAAGTGAGACATATATGGATCCTAGGAAGGGGAAGAAGACAAGATCTCCTCAGTAAATTGGGATCATGAGGGATAAGAGAGAGGGTGGAAGGAAAGAAGGCATTCCTTTTGTTTAACTAAGACTGGCAAGTCTGGGGAGGTTTGAGAGCAGTCCCGGAGATTCTGTACTGCTTGGGGAAGAGTTCAGCTTCTGCAATCAGTGCAACGATTGAGAACCAAGCTGAAATTTTACCATCCAAATTATCCAGATTCTTTCTCAGAGCACGGAGGATAGGAATGCAGGAATAGACAGAACTCAAATGAAAACCTGGTGGGTTCAAATATGGGTAAAGAAAAACCCCAGCAAACGCTCCAGGATTGTAGCTATTTTATTCCTGACACACCAGAGGGCGCTGCTGTGCTGCAGGGAAACCAGCAGCCACTAAGTCTGCCCTTCCACTGAGTCCTCCCTTGCAGGAGCTGACTAGGAACTCTGCCTGTTCTGGGACAGATCAGCTTTCAGCGACACTCTTAGGTCTTCAGACCTAAGGTCTTAATTAACACAAGTGTTATCCCAGGACCTAAAGTCAGCAGTTTCCTGTAGAGCCTGCTAGGATGAGGTGTGGACCCAAGAACCCAGGGAGCCCTCTACTGGTTGTTGACTTGACACACCTCGGCTCCAACCTACCCTTGACCTGGTCCTGTCCTCTACCCTGCACGTGAGGCCATGGTCACGTGGGAGGAGGGCGGGCTGTGGAAGGTAGTGCCAGAGCTGAGGCGCTGCTCCACTCTCACAGAAGAGGCTCTCAGAGCTCGAGTCCCTGTGCCTCTGGAGAAGCAGGGCTTGTTCTGTGTGACTGGACAGCTGGGACTGGGGGTCCTGGGAGACTGAGCCAGTGGATATAGTGCTTGCCATGCAAAATTGAGAAAGTGAGTTCAAATCCCTAGTACCCACCTCAAAGAGCTTTAAATCCCATTGCTGGAGAGGCAGAGACAGGAGGATCCCCTGGTTGGACTGACCAGCCAGTTTAGCCTGAAAGCTCCAGGTTCAGTGTAAGATCTTATGTCAAAAGATAAGGTGAATGGCTAGATGGTTGGCTCAGTGCCAATCCTGATAATCTTGAAGTGAATGAAGCCCAGGGACCCACATGGAGAAAGGAGAAAATGAACTTCATCAAGTTGGTCTCTGCCCTTCACACATGTGCTTTCTACATGCAAAAAGAAACATTAAATTAAAAAAATAGGTGGAGAAGAGTTGTGAAAGACACTGATAGTTCCTCTACCTTCCACCTGTCCACACTCCTATGCTCACACTTATGCATATGTGCACACACTCACCCAGACAGACACAGACAGACAGACAGACAGACAGACACACACACACACACACACACACTCTAAATAAGTAAAATGCACCAGAGGGTGTGACTCCCAACCTACGCTGCTGCATAGTTGTCCTTCCATCCAGAGGGACCTGATCCAGGATCACACCACTCACTCTTTGCAGCCTTTTGCTTTCTGCATGAACTTCTCTGCTCCTCTACAGAATGGCAGTTTTTCTTAGTGGTAAGTTTTGTTTGTTTTGCTTTTATGAGCCACGGTCTTGTTATGTAGCTCAGGCTGTCCTAAAACTTAGCATTCTCCTGTCTCTGCTTCCTGATAATATGTGTGCAGCCTCATAGATGACCTCTGAAAAATTCCTGTTCCACTCCTCATTCCTACAGATGAGAACTTCTTTCTTCATGCCAGGGCCTGGGGACATTGTGGCTCCTGCTTGCTCTGTCTCCTCCTGTGTGTCCTTCCTCCCAGACATGAGGCTGGGCCTATGGCAAGAAGCCCTTCACCAATAATTAAAGGAATGGAATTTGGACAATTCCACCTTGGCAACCTGACAGAGGGTGTGCATGACTTTGGCTAACAGAACACACTATTGCCAAGGCCAGTGAGTCACAGGCTCCTGAGAGCAATCAGAGCCACATAGCCAGGTGCAAGAAAGGCATTAGAGTTCTATTAAAGAGGCAAAATCAATAATTATGCTGGGACAATGTGGGCAAACTGGGATAATTTTGGGTCAACTAGATTGATTGTACTAAAGATTATAGGACTTGGTGTTCATTGTGCTTGGAGTGCATTTCATCTCCTCTCAGCATGATGGGGGGATCAGAGAGTAAATTGGTGGTAGGGATCACATTTTTGAGAGAACAACTCAGAATGATGTTCGAGAAGCTCACCTAGTTTCCTCCCCAGAAAAGCTGGAGAGGGTCCAGAGCCTCCCCAAGGCCTAGGAACTGATGGCTTGCCCTCCCTCTGCCTGGCCTTCTGACAGTAGGACTGTTATCAGAGAGGCACAGCTGTCCTGTACAGAGCTCATATGCTCTGGGTGTGGACTCAGACTCAGGCCATGGCAGATCTGCCCAGGTGGGACAAATTCTTGCCATTGAGCAAGTGTGCTCAATGTATATATGTGTATATACCATATAAATCCCCTAAATTCCTTTGTAGGCCACCAGTCCAGATCAAGGACTTCATCTCCCTGTTGTCTCTCCCCCAGGACTTCCTGTCCCAAGCTCCCTGCTCTTGAGGGTGTGTCTTAGCTGTTGCGTGGCTACTTCTTCTCAGCTCCAGCTCGTGTTTTTGTCCACATTCTGGTCCAGTGCAGATGGCCCACTATGAGCCCTGTCCTGTGGTGACTGACTCAAGGTGCCCATAGCTGCAGCCCCCTGCACAACACACATGTATCTAAAGTTGAAGACACTATGAACTCACACTCAGTAGCTTTCTCCTGCCTGGCATTTTACAAGGTTGGAAGAAGAAGACCAGAGTCTCAAAAGTCATTCCTACCTAGTATGAAGGCCACCACATAGTTGGAGATCTGGCCCATGCCCACGATGATAAATAACACGGTGAACATCTCCCAGCTGGTGGAGAAAATCTGCACGAAGCTGAATCCAGTCTGCACAGCCATGGTTGCAAAGAGGACTTTCTTCCTGCCAAACCTATAGAACATAACACAGTGCCGTAGCTCAGGGTGTGTTGCAACACCAAGCCTAGCTTCACTGTAGGGTCTGTCTTATTTCATGACTCAGATTTTTTTCTTCCCTGTGACATCCTGTTAGCCTCCTTCCCAGAGAGGCCTCCAGAATCCACCTGCCCAGGGACTACCTTCCGAGGTGCCAAGCCTTGCTTCTGGAGAAAACAGGCATCTTCTTTGAGGTCCACATGGACAAATCTGACCTTTAGAAAGGCCATAGAAGGGCTAGGGGTATGGCTTAGTGGATGAGTGCTTGCTTAGCCCGAATGAAGCCCTGGCTTTGATCCCCAGAATGGTGCATATCTGTAATTCCAGCACTTGAGAGGTTGAGGCAGGAGGATCAGAAACTCAAGGCCATCCTTGGCTGCATAGTGATTTTGAGGCCATCCTTGACCATCCTGGGCCTGTGAAAAGTACTTCTCCTATCACCCACATGGGAATTCTGTATGTTTAGAAACTCCCTCAAGGGCTGTTGCTTCTTAACCTTAGCTGCACTTGGAACCACCCAGAGAGCTTTAAAAATGACAGACAGTCCTTGACTTACAATGGTTCAGCTTAGGACTTCATGACTTTACAATGGTGGGAAAGCATTATGCATTCACTTAGAATTTCTGCTTTGAATTCTGTACTCGTATTTTCCCCCACTCAACCTGCCAGACAGAGATATGGCCCATGAGCCTCTCTGTCCATGTTGAGCAGCAACAGTGAGGGGAAACACTGGCCCTTTACATTTGGCTGTTAGCTGAGCTAGCATATCATAATAGGTGTGTGAAGAGGGTTTTTTTTTCAATCTAATCTCTTCAGTTGAGGAAGGGTTTGTCAGGACAGGACTTAGGGAAAGTCAAGGAGTACCCACACTCATACCAGCACCCCTCTTCTCCTGAATCTTATTTGTCTACAGTGCAGCTTGAGTATTGGGGTATTATGCAGTTGCCCAGGTGTGCTTATGTGTCTCTAAAATTGCAAACCACTGCTTTATGGGAATATGCCATTCTCAATCATGTCTGTTGAGTCACTAGTCAGCTTAGGCTTTAATTTTCATTCTGGTAGTGACCAGTGGGCAGGGAGGAGCATTCCTGCCCCATTCCCACTGGACTTAAAACTTTGGGGAGGGGCAGATCCCCAGGAAGCCTTGTCCAACACTGCTATTTAGCACCCTCACCTGCCGTGGTCACAAGAGAACATATAGGGTAGGTAGAACACAATGGGGCAATCTTGTCCCTAGGAAAACTGCAAGCTCTGCTGGCCAAAAGGCAGCCCGGGTCAGTTCTATGGCTACAGGCCCAGCCATGGCTCAGTGCCCAGGCTCAGAGAGTGCATAGCTGATGTGACTTGGCTTTACTCTCGCTGTTGGCTGTTTGTGCAGAATGACATGCCACCTGCCCCCTGCCCTGCCAAGAGTTGGGGGCAGAGTCAGGGGCAATGATGACCTGTTCTGTGAAGGGGCTTGTGGTACAAGGGCCTCACTTTCTATTGGAGTTGATACTTCCATCTCTTTGGCCAAGGCCCTGTGAGTTCCGACTGGGAGTATGACAGAAGTGGGCCCTGGCAGGATGTGGAGGCTAGAGTGACACGTTAGTACCATCTGTGTAAGACTTATTTATCTACTTAGCTAGCTTGTCACTCAGTTAAATGGGTCAGGTATTGTTGTGTAGGGGTGCTGCAGTCAGGGTTGCCCACTAGATTTATCTGGGAAAGATTTATTTAGTTCACCAGGCAGGGTCTTGGTATAGAGTCCAGGCTGACACTGAACTTTTCATCCTCTCCTCAGTCCCCCACCCTCCCAAGTGCTAGACTCCTCCTACTATCCACTCAGTGTCTTGAGGATCCTTCTCTGTGTAGAAAGTATGAATTTGGTCTTATGTCAAGATAGGCTGTGGACTGATAAGTAACTCCATCTTACTGATCCCCATCCAGAGTCCTTACCTGTCTGACAGCTGCCCAGACACGAAGGAGCCACAGAGAACGCCTACGAAGAACAGGGAGGTGGTGAGGGGTGTCTTCCAGTCATCCTCACACACCAGATTCCACTGCCAACAAGACAGCATGCAACGTGAGCCCAGTCCTCCAGCAGGACCCACCCGTGCCCCATTCCGAGGAGCGCCAGATGGATGCCAGGTGCACTGTCCTCCCTTGTGCCAGCCTGTTGACTCTGTGCAAAGGGCACACTGGCCTTTTAGTTCTGGGTTTGACACTGCCATTCAGTGTGACAAGTAGCCTGGGTCATGCCCCTGCCTCCCGTTGAGGCACAGTGTCCTCTTCAGGAGGGAGGAGATGGCCTGAACTTGCTTACATTGTGTATCAAGAAGGGTGGTGAGCCCTCAACCACAAAGGAGTATGAAGCAAAGGAACCCTCGCCCCTTTGAGACAGCACAGAAGGGAGAGATTTGAAAACCCAGAAGAGTAGGGCAGATGGCATAGCTAGTTGGTCCTGGAGTAAAATGCCATCTCCTTTGTTGAAAAGTGGAAATAGTTGCAGCGCTGTGTGAGTTTATTCTTTAAGCAGGCCTCTCTGGAAAGTATTGGCTTCCTGGTCCCTTCAAACATAGACGGAGCATCTAACCTACTCCAGGGACCACTGTGCCAGCACTACCCAGCCCTTCCAAGGGTTGTCTAAGCCTCCTCCCTCCACTCCTCTGCCCTCCCTCCCACCCAGACTTCCCAGAAGTGTGTTCCCTCCCAGTCCCCAGGCCCTGTGGGACTAACAAGTTCCTGCTGGTGGATCCATAAAACCGGTTTCAACCAGAGTTTCTGTTCCCAGATTTCCACTGGAGTCAGTTCAGCCCAGTCTCAAGGGAGGCTGTGGAGATTTCAAAGTGTGCCTGATGACCTCTGTTTATATATTTTGGACTTGGGGTAGTATGGGAGTAGTGTGTCACAAGAGGAGCCCAGCAGAGAAGGGCCCTCCAGCCCACCCCTTCTCCCGACGTGTGAGCATCCTACATCCACGGCATTTGTGGAGCAGTTCTGTTCTTATTCCCCATAGCTGCTTCAAAGTGTAGTTGATTTAAGTCAACTCATGCATATGCATTATTCCATATTGCATTCTGTAGTGCAGAGGGGGTGTTTCTAGAAACACTAACAAAGCAAAAGCATAAACCAAAAAGCTAAGGCAATCAAGCCAAACAAAGTCAGGGGGCTTATAAAAACTCAAGTCAGAAGTCACTGCAGACTGTCCTGCCTGTGGCAATGACTTTGGCTAGCCCAGCAATTCCATTCTTAGTCATATACCCAAAAGATGCCCATTCAAACAACAAGGATGTCTGTTCTACTATGTTCATAGCAGCATTATATGTAATAGCTAGATCCTGGAAGCAACCTAGATGCCCCACAACTGAAGAGTGGATAGGGAAAATGTGGTACATTAACACAATGGAGTACTACTCAGTGGAGAAATAGAATCTTGAAATTTTTAGGCAAATGGATGGCACTAGAGGAAACCATCCTGAGTGAGGTAACCCAGACACAAAAAGACAAACATGTTATGTACTCACTCATATATGGATCAGGGGAGTGTCAGCCTACAATCCCAGTACCAGTGAGTCTGGGAAACAAGGAGGTTCCCAAGAGAGATGCATGACACCCCAGAGAAGTGGAATAAGGCAAGGTATCCTGAGCAGATTGGGAACATCGGGGGAGGGGAGAGGGAACCAAGAAAAAAGAGGAGGGGAGAAGAGGGCATGGTGGAGCAGGAAGGTTGAGTCAGGGTAAGAATAGAAGAGAGCAGGATGAGAGATACCATAATAGATCGAGTCATTATAGGCTTGAGGAGAGAGCTGACACTAGTGAGATCTCCAGAGATCTACAAGGATAATACCAACTGGCAAACTAAGCAATAGTGGAGAGACTACATTAATAGCCCCTCCTTGATGATAGGGTTGATGACTACCCTATATGCCATCCTAGAACCTTCATCCAGGGACTGATGGAAGCAGAGACAGATTCCCATAGCTAAACACTGAACTTCACTCCTGGAACCCAGTGACAGAGATGGAGGAGTGATGAGCAAAGGGTCAAGACCATGATGGTGAAACCCACAAAGACAGCTGACCGGATAAGGGGGAGCTCTTGAATCCCAGACTGATGGCTGAGAGGCCAACAGGGTACTGATCCAGACTCCATGAATGTAGTGCCAGTGAGGAGGCCACAGAAATCACTGGGGCCTTGGGTAGTAGATCAGTGTTTACCATGGCGTATGAATGATCTTTGGGAGCCTGTTCCAAATAGAGGGATGCTCTCTCAACCTGGACACATGGGAAAGGGCCTAGGTCCTTCCCTGGATAAAATGACAGACTTTGGAGATTCCCTCAAGGAGGGCCTCACCCTCCCTGGGGAATGATGTGAGGATTGGGTGGGGAGTTGGGGGGGCTGGTGGAGGGACAAGGGAGGAGGGGTGGGAGAGGGAGTTGGGATTGACATGTGAAGCATTCATGTTTCTAATTTAAATAAAAACATATATTGAGGAAAAAAGCAAAAAAAACTGTTCCAGGACTTTGAAATAGAGAGGCAAAGAAAGGACTTAGTGCCTGGCATGGTAACACATGTTTTTAATTCCAGTGCTTGGAAGGTAGAGGCAGGTGGATCTCTGAGTTCAAGGCCAGCCTGGTCTACATAGTGAGTTCCAGGATAGCTAGGGCTATACAGAGAAACCCTGTCTCGAAACACCAAAAACAAATAAATAAATGGGCTCAGAAACAGAAGAGAAAGAGAAAGGTTGATGGAGATGGAGCCAGACACAGCATGAGCGCAAACAATCGGTGGGAATTCTACCTGAAGCGTAGCCACAGAGCACACTGAACTTGCTGGATCCCTGGTTCAAATATGGCAAGTACAAAATATAGATGACCTCTATTTCTCCCTCTCTCTTTCTCTTTAGGTCTCTCTCCCCTCCCTCCCTCTTTCTTCCTTTCGTGTGTGTGTGTGTGTGTGTGTGTGTGTGTGTGTATGTGTGTGTGTGTGAATATGTGAGTGTGTGTGTATGTGTGTATACTTGTGCACACATGCACATGTCAGAGGTCCAATATTGCACCTCAGGTGCCATCCACCTTATTTTTTGAGACATGGGGCTCACTAATTATGCAAGGTCGGTTGGTCAAGATATCCCCAGGGGTCTGTCTACCTTCCCTAGTGCTGGGATAACAAATATGCTCCACCACACTGAGCTTTTCCATTTGGGCTCCAGGGATCAGACTCAGGTCATTCTGCTTGCATGGCAAACACTTTATTGACTGAGTCATCTTCTTGGCCCCTGAAAGTAAGGGTTTCCAGACAGTTATGGCAGTACAAGCCTAGAGGATCATCAGTTTTGAGAATAACCTGTACTATACAGCAAGTCCTTGTCTAAAAAAAAAGGTTTTGAAAAAAGAAAGAAAAAATGAATTTCAAAACACCCAAAGAAGCCGGGCGTTGGTGGAGCACGCCTTTAATCCCAGCACTTGGGAGGCAGAGGCAGGCGGATCTCTGTGAGTTCGAGACCAGCCTGGACTACAAAGCGAGTTCCAGGAAAGCCTCCAAAACAATACAGAGAAACCCTGCCTCGAAAAACCAAAAAAAACCAAAAAAAACCAAAAAAAAAAACAAAACTCCCAAAGAACATTGTTATCAAGTGTGTGGGGCTTGTGTGACCCACACCTAGACTGCATACCACGAAGGTAGCCTGTTGGGGATGGTAATCAAACCTGTTTTCTTTGGATAGAAGCATGGATGCTAGAGAAGGTGAGATTGGATCAGCTTCCTACAACTCTCTTTCTTGGAGACCATGGCTGAGGGTCTCTTTCTCTCCACGAAGAAAGGGAAGTCCCCAACAAGGTGTCCTGACCAGTCATGAACACACAGTAGCCATTTGTCCCAGTCCCATACGGGGTGCGGCATGTCTCTGGGGACCCTGGTAAATGTGGTTAGAAAACAGGACTGTCCAAGGTTTGCACTAGGGTTTCAGTTTCCTTTTGAGGGCCTTTGTGCCCAAGGAGTCTCTTTGGAAAGTTGTGAGGAGCTTGGGTTTGCAGACAAAGTCCTAGTTGGGGCTTGTGGGATTACAGTACAATAAACCAAACCATAGTACAAAGAGCAGCTCTTCCATCCAAAGGCCTGCTGTTGGGAAAGCCAGGCCCTGACTGTTTTTAACTCATTGGGATTTGAGGGCTGTGTCTTGGAAGCCCCACTATCCAGGACCCAGTGAACTCCCTGTGGTGACGTACCATTTGCCATAGGAGATCTGTTGAAGACCTGTTTCTCCTGATGGAATGGAACTCCTCCCCACTTGTATGTACACACATGAACACAGAAACACACTTCTAGTTAAAGGCTCAGAGCCTAAAGGTGGATGCCCACTAACCAGCTGGCTGGCCTTGTTTTGGGCAATGTCCTTTTAAACCAAACATGAATGTTTTCAAAGCAGATTCTCCCTCTCCTTTCTGGTGAGAGTGAAGTGTGGCAACCATCTGGCTCAGGCTGTGTGGGGAGGGGAGAGTACTGGATGTGCACCCCAATCTCAGGGTCTAACACTTGAGGTTCCTACAACAGAGCAGCCTGAGATCTGCCTAGCTGCATCATGTGTCTGTCAGCTCTGTTTCGATAGATTAAACCAGGTCACAGGTCTTGAGGAACGGACTGGGGATGTAGGTTAACGGCAGAGTGCTTGCCCAGCATACACAAGCTCTGTTTTCAATCTTATCACTGCTGGGAGGAAAACAAAAAAGAAAGGAAAGAAGAGATAGAAGGTCACTCTTGGCTTCTTGTGTCTCCCAACATAAATCATTATTAGAATAAAAACCATAGTGTATTTTTTTTGAGACAAGGTCTCAGATAGCCCAGGCTGACCTTGAATTTGCTATGTATCTGTGGATGACCTTGAACTCCTGATCTTCCCAAGTGCTAAGATTACAGACATGTGCCACCACAAAGATGCTAAGTGTGCATGCTGTATTGCTTCAAGAGCTCTCAACACTGTCCTATGGGGTGGGTGCTTCTCCTTTTTCTTGTTTCGTAAGTGAATAAATGAAGGCATAGGAGCGATGAAGGGATTCGTCCA